TCTCTCTCTCTCTCTCTCTCTCTCTCTCTCTCTCTCTCTCTCTCTCTCTCTCTCTCTCTCTCTCTCTCTCTCTCTCTATCTCTCTCTCTCTCTCTCTCTCTCTCTCTCTCTCTCTCTCTCTCTCTCTGTCTGTCTGCGCTGTCTCTCTCTCTGTCTCTCTCTCTCTCTCTCTGTCTGTCTGCGCTGTCTCTCTCTGTCTCTCTCTCTCTCTCTCTCGCCAAGTGCATGCGAAGCGAACATGCGTCTCATGCAATCTGTGGGGTAAAAGAATTCTGCGAGTTTTTTTGTGCTTCCAGGCTGGAGGAGGAGCGCTGACGCGTCAAGGTCGTGTTTTCAGACGACCTGAAGCTCCCATGGAGACATCGCCTCGTCCTTCTGTGACGGCACGTCTCGGCGGGAGCAGCAGCAGCAGCTTTCCTGACTGCTGGGGAGGCCCTTTGAAGGAGCATAAGCTTCAGCAGGAGGGTATGACACTCAAGGCAGCTGCCGCTGCGCTTCTGTCTGCCATTGACTGCGTCGCTGTCGCTGCTTTGAGGGCGGAGCGAGTCACCCGTGCAGCAGCTGCTCGTGCCGCAGCGGCGTCTGCTCGTGCAGCTGCTGCATCCGCAGTGCCTTCTGCTGCTCCCGCAGCAGCAGGAGAGGCAGCGTCGGAAGAGGACGCTGTTGCCGCTGCGAAAGCCTTCGTGCAGCAGTCTGCAGCGGAGCTCTTAGAGGGTCTTATTGAGGAGAAGCATGCGCGACTTCGTGAGGAGGCAGCGCTTTCTTCTTCCTCTCTGAAGGAACTAAACGAATACGACACACGGTGCGAACTGCGGCGGCTGCTGCAGCTGCAAAAAATGCTCGGTGTCTCGCCTTCGGCTTTGTTCTTGCAGCAGCAGCAACAGCAGCAGGCTGAGGAGGAGGAGTCGCTTTTTTCGAAGAAGAAGAGGGGTGCTGCGTCTGCAGCAGGTGCAGGAGGAGCGGGAACGGGAGTTGCGAATGCTGCTGCCGCAGCAGCAGCGTTGCAAAAGAGGCGGCGGCTCGAAGAAGAAGAAGGGGCTGCAGTTGCGAGAAACTGGAACGAGGCTGCGGCTGCAGAAGCAGGAGAAAAAAATATTCCAACAGACGCAGACGATGCGCGTGCCTTGCTGGTGAGAACTCCGCGAGCGCTCGCAGCGCCTCATGTTTTGCATCCCCCAACACCAGCACAAAATTTTCTCTTCGGCATGCCGCTGGAGCCGCCTGCCACTGGGGCCCTTTCGCAAGTGCAAATGCAGCAGCAGCAGCAGGAGGAGCAGCAGCAGCAGCAGCAGCAGCCAGCCTCTACGCCAGTCTTTCCGCGTGTCGCTGCTGCAAAATACCCCGGAGTTGCGCAGAAAAGAAAACAGCCCTTGATGAGCCAGCGATACTGCGCAGCTCCTCCTTCTCTGCCCTCTCCAGGAGTCGCTGTTGCAGCGGCTGTGCTGCAGCAGCAGCTTCAAGCGCCTCCTTCGTGCGTTGCAGTGCTGCTAGCCGATGCCACCGACTTTGTAGTCGTCCACATGCAGCGACAGCAGCAGCAGCAAGGACTGCTGCCTCTAGCCATTCCTGCGGATGCCTCTGCAGCAGCAGCAGATCGGCTGCACGCTGGCGCGAAGCGGCAGATCTCAAGCAGTGACGGCTCCGCAGCCGCAGCAACTGCCGAGGATGCTGCTGCTGCAGCCAACACGAAGGCTACAGAGTACTCCGTGCAGCTCTTGGCAGAGACACTGCAGCAAGCCGTGCAGTCTGCTACAAGGCCTATGCAGCTGCTCCTCATGCGACGAGCCGCCGCAGTTTTCGCTGCCTGCAGCCTCCATGCAGACACCAGCAAGAAGCAGCTGTACATCCTGCTGCGTCTGCTGCAGCAGCTCAGTCCGCTGTTCGACTCCGCGGTAGAGCCGCTTGCAGCGGCTACGGGCAGGCAAATCGTTGCCGAAGAAGAAGCAGCAGCAGCAGCAGCTGCTGCTGCTGCTGGAGTGCTTGCTGGTCAAAAGGCTGTCGCCGCTGCAGCTCTCACCGCAGACGCGCGACGGCAACAACAGCAGCAGCTGCTGCAGCAGCTCCTCTTCCTTGACCTCTCTACAGAAGCAGAAGCTCTCGCACCCTTTCTCGTGACGGCTACAAACGCAGCCAAAGCCTTCTCAGCCTTTGTCTCCCTGGTCCGTCCTCCAAGCTTCAGCTGAGCTGCTCCTCCAGTCAACTCGCAGTCGAGGCAGAGGCAAACGCAGCAGTCACAGCGCAAGCTAGGAAAAAATATGGCCTTCCATATGAAAGTGTACTGCCTGTACTTTTTGGTGTGTTGTATATATATATATATATGTTGTATATATGTATATATATATTTGTTGTACATGCGTGTGTTGTATGTATGTGTGTTGTATATATATAAATATATATGTTGTATGTATATATGCGTTGTATGTATGTATGCGTTGTATATATGTATATAATTTTGCACATGTGTGTGTTGTATATGTGTGTTGTATACATATATATATATGTATATGCGTTGTATATATATGTGTGTTGTATGTATATGTGTGTTGTATGTTGTGTGCGTATGTATATATGTGTTGTACATGTTTGTGTTGTATATACATAATGTTGTATATATATAATGTTGTATATATATGTGTGTTGTATATATATAGTGTGCTGTATATATATCTATATGTGTTGTTTATTTATAATGTGTTGTATATATATATGTGTTGCATATATATATATATGCGTTGTATGTTGTGTGCGTATGCATATATACATGTACAGTTACCTCCATCGTCATCAGTCTGCCCTGCTCCTCCCCGTGCATTTATAGGCTGCGAAGAGCAGCAGCAACAGCACCAACAGCAAGAACAACAGCAAGCCCAGCAACAGCAACAACGGAAGAAGCATGAGAAGCCGCAGGAGGAGCAGCAAGAGCAGCCAGAAGAATCGTGGATAGGCTTGGCGGCTGCTGCTTCTCTGGCACGTCTTTTACGAGGACTGCAGGCAGAAGCGGAAGTTCGACTGCCTAGGTGTTTGCTTAGTGCTAAGGGTAAAAGAAATTCCTTTGCACAAAGTTTAAGCAGCTAGAAGGCTGTATTATGCCCTTCGTCGAGTTGCGTTGTTCACCGCACAGACTTGCATCTCTTGTGTTGGCTTGCTTCCCTCCCCGAGGCTTTGCGACACACTTTCGCTTTTTCTTGGATCGCACAGCCGTCAGACGGCCGACCTTTTTTTGAACGCCTCTCCTGCCGATTGATGCTGCTTCTGCTCTGCTCAGGCTTGCAGTTTTTGCAGGCTGTATTTGAAACCACAGCGCAGTTGCTTCTTTTCCGCCAGTCGGTACGTTGATTGCCTTCCTGAGCAGCGCTAGTTGAGCAGCAGCAGGAGCAGAAGGAGACGCTGGAAGGTGTGTGCGGCAGCAAGCAAAGCCGCCAGCTTCTCCGTGTGGGCTGTGGCGAGCTTGCATGTCTCCTTTCTGCAATTTGTTCTGTCTGCGCTTCAAACTGCCGACTCAGGTGCTCACACCCCACATGGATGTCTTCTTGTCTGTGGCAGCAGCCATCTTGCAAATGGAAGTCGAGTTGCCACGCCTCAAGTTGCCGAAGCCTCTCCTTCGAGGTGTGAATGAAAGCTGCTGACGCAGTTGGCGCTGCCTCGGTACCAGCTGAGAAGCCGTTCCCAAAGCGTTCCTTCACTCTCCAGCCTCTGCTGCTTCGCATGTGGCGACGCGAATGCGTCAAGAGAGTGTGGAAGACGCGGCAGGAGAGAGGCGTGTATCCCCCCTGTAGCCACTCCCTCTCTCCTTCTCGAGATCTGTGCGGTGCATGCTGGCTTGCTTGCTTGCTCCTGCTGCTGCAGCCGTTCTCTCCTTCTTGTTTTTAACTTGCTCGTCACCTCCCACCTTGCTGCTCTCTTGCCTGAAGGCGCTAGTTAGGGCACATGCTGAAGCCGCAGACAGCACACAAGAAGCGCAAGACAACGCTGCCGAAGAAGAGAAGCTCCACGCCGAAGTGCCAAAAGCGGCCACGGCAGAGGCAGCAGCAAAACTCTTCTTGTCAGCCCTCCTCAGATACATTCGACATAACATGGTATGTTTCCTGCTACTGCTGCGGCTGCTATTGCTACTCCTGCTACTGCTGCTACTGCTACTGCTACTGCTGCTCCTGCCTTGCGGCAAGCGCTCCCCGGCAAGCGCTCTACAAAAAATATATATCTGCGCAAACTGCAGAGAGGTGCCCGCTGTTTACTGCCACTGTTACGTTCACTCAGCTGCCATGTTCTCCCATTCTCACTAGCGCATGCATCATCATCTTCTCTCCCCGCGGGTGTTGCTGGTGATGTTTGCTGCTTTTGACGCAGATGGAAGCAGCACGCCTCTCAGCTCAAGAGGAGCTTGCCGAAGCTATTGGTCCTCTTTTCGGGGGAAGTGCCTCCTCAGCTTCTCCGACAACAGCAGCATCAGCTGCCGCTGCTGCTGCTGCTGCTGCTGCTGCCGCCTCTACCTACAGTCCCCACGACTTCAGCAACAACGGCAACACGCAGCAGAGCAGCAGCGTCTCAGCGCCTTCGCAGGCGGGAGGGGGAGAGGCGCTGACCACTTCAGGAGTAGCAGAAGCGTGGCTTCAACGCGGCAGTTTGAACTCCCGCTTAATACGTCCTGCTGTAACTCCCCAGCTGCCACTGCACCATCAACTCGCCGTAGCCAGTCCTGCAGCGCTGCTGCAACGCGACGAGCAGCTGCAGCACGTCGCTGCGGATGCAATTGCTGCTGCTGCTGCTACCACGCTCATAGACAGCGGCGCCGCTGTAGCCGCAACGAGTGATGCTGCTGCGCTCGAAGACACCGTCTCTCGCCTCCTGCCACGCAAGGATCTTAAATGCCCTCGTTCTGCTGCCGCTGCTGCCTTAGACCCACTCGTCGCACAGCAGCCGCATCTGCACGCCCACAAGCAACAGCAGCAGCAGCACCTGCAGCAGCAAGAGATGCAGCAGCAGCAGCAGCAACAGCCAAGCCAACCTGCCGACGTCCCTTTGCAGCTGCCTGCAGCCGCCAGTCTGTCGCATGTCTCCATGAGGCAGACGCTTCTTCTGCAAGAGGAGGAGGAGAATCAGCAGCAGCAGAAAGAGATGCAGCAGCAGCAGCAAGAGATGCAGCAGCAGCAGCAGCAGCAACAGCAGCACCCCCATCCGCATGCTGCGTCGCATCAAACGCCTCTAATGCAGCAGCAGCAGCCGCTGTCTTCTCCCGGCTTGTTGCCTCAGCAGACGATGCCACTGCCCGCAATGCCTGTGCAACAACAGCAGCAACAGCAGCATCTGCAGCCGCATCACTTCCAACAGCAACATTTGCAGCAGCAGCAACATTTACAGCAGCAGCAACACCATATGCAGCAGCAACATCAACACCATATGCAGCAGCAACACCAACACCATATGCAGCAGCAACATCAACACCATTTGCAGCAGCTGCAACAACAGCAGCAGCAGCAGCACATGCAGCCAGGGACTGTAAGGAGCTCTCCATACCCCCAACTTGTTGGCTATGATGTTAAGCAGCAGCTTCTTGGTCCACAACACATGCTGCAGCCACAAACACTTCCCTTCGCTGCCGCACCGATGCAGCAGCAACACGTGATGCAACCGCAGCAGCAGCATGCAGGACTGCAGCAGCAGCACATGATGCAACCACAGCAGCAGCAGCAGCAGCAGCCACACTTGCAGCAGCTAGAGCAGCAGCAGCAGCCACACTTGCAGCAGCTAGAGCAGCGGCAGCAGCCACACTTGCAGCAGCTAGAGCAGCAGCAGCAACCCCCAGACAGTGAGGAGCCACGATCTCATCTTGCTTTTGATTATTCGCAGCAGCTAGGTGCTGCAAGGCCTACTTTTCCCACCCTGAGTGCTGCTGGCAAGCCTCCCGAGCAGCGGCAACAGCAGCATGCAGGACTGCAGCAGCAGCAGCAGCAGCAGCAGCAGCAGCAGCAGCAGCAGCAGCAAGCACCGTGGCTTCTGCAGCAGCACTTTCCGCAGCCTCAGGCGGCATATTCTTCCCCGCAGCCAACTGCGGCAACCTGGCAGCCTCAGCTGCAACAGCAACTGGGGTTGATGCCTCCTCAAGTGCAGCAGCAGCAGCTGCTGCTGCAGCACCAGCAGCAACAGTTGTTGACAGCTGGCCAGCAGCAGCAGCAGCAGCAGCAGCAGCAGCAGCCTGTATTCAGGCAGCAGCAGAAGCCGCATCCAGCTGCACCGCGCCTTGCAGCAGCGGAGACTTCGGGGAGCACTGCAGCAAGTGTAGCGACAGCAGCAACTGGAGTAGGCAGCGGTGTGGCAGGCGTCTGTCGGCGAGTGTCGTCAGCAGTAGCACAGCCAGCAGCAGCACGCCTCGAAGAGCATGAAAGCGATGAGGAAGGAGAGGGCGTCAGCGATACCACTGCAGTTGCTGTTGGTTGCATCGGCGCACTTGCAACGAATTCTCAGCTGTTGCCCCTTTTGCGTCCTCATCTGCCTTTACTTACCGAGGTGATGACATGTGCAGCTGCTGCCCTCCCCCGACGCTAATTTCTGCTACGGATGCCTCGCGTCTTGTTGTTCTGCTGCTGTCTGCTTGTTGATGTGCATTTGTGCGGCGAGCTTGGTGCAATAATGGGAAGGGAGCTTTAGGCTGCCGGTTTGAACGCTCCTCTTCTCCCCCCGCTTTTTGCACCCATCTTCCTGTTTTCCGTTTTCCTCCTTCGCCTGTGATTCAGCTCGCGTGGCTTAGAACACCGTTGAGCAACACTCTATGGGCCGTAGTGGGGGAGTTGCTTCTGCCTGCTATAGAGCAGCAACAGCAGCAACAGCAGCAGCAGCAGCAGTCAAGCCTCTCCCCGTCTGCACTGAGAGCGCTGGCGAGTCTGGGTGGCTTCCAGGAGACCCTTAGCGTTCGCAAGGTGATCAGCAAGAAGGCATAAGTGCGTCATGGATTGAGGCTGCGCATGCAGCGTCTACAGCTGCACATGCATGAGTTTCTGTTCTGGCTGCCGAAATCGCTGCAGGGGAGGGAGGCGGCAGCCACAGCGAGCTACGTGAATGCAGCCGCGCAAAAAGAAAGCGCAGCAGAGGGAGTGGCTTTGACTAGAGGCTCTCACTTGACGGTGAGCCCAGAAGTTCTTTCCCGAATAAGGGAGGCGAGTGCTGCCGTAGATACAGCCCGTATTTATAGATTAAAGCGGCGTTATCTATGGCAGCAACAAGAGCAGTTGCTGCGTTGGACCCTATCCTCCACTCGAGGCGGCGGCTCGAGCAGCACCTAGAGAGCTAGGGGTACTAGCGCTTACAGTGGAACGGAAAAAGTAGCGTCTAAACACAAGCAGCAGCTGACAGGTACTCAGCTACTGCTGCGTTGGCAGTGGCAGCGGGTTGGAGTTGCTGCACGGAAGCAGCTGATGTAACATGTAGGCAGCATTCGCGCTGCATCCGGCAACGCTTTGGCTGGAAGGCCAAGAAATCTAGCCATCACGGTGCTCGCACTGGGTTATAGCAATAGCTGCAGCAGCAGCAGGGGGAATCACGGTGATAAGCCAAACGCCCTGCAGAGTTCGATGCTGTGGAGGAACTGCCCGTGGCTGGATAATACAGCCCTCGGATTGCAAATCCGAAAGCAGCAGTAACCTTTCATTCTCCTTAAGGTAGCATTTGCACGTGCAAACGGATCTTGCAGGATCCCTTCCCACCAGTGCTGACAACTGCGATTTGTAGTTGGCGTGGAAGCCGTGTCTAGACAGCTTCTCCGCTGCGGTAGTGTCGGCCGCGAATTCACAGGCCTTCACCGAGATCCTAAGCGACGTTCTTTCCATCCTCTGAAAATGAGTGCAGGTCTATTGCAGTGGCTTGCTGCACCGGCAGCAGTCGCCCGCTTGAAGGCGTAATGTGATTGCCATGCAGATGCCAACCAGCTAGAAATGCGGCAAAACGAGGTCCGCTTCCTCTTCCCCCCTCTCCCTGCGTAACGCCCGCATCGAGCACGCCGCTTCGGAATTCCTTCAAATGCCTTTCAAGCGGTGCGGTGTATGTGTGTGTGTGTGCACTGCACTTCGCGGCTCTAGCCAATGCAAGTCGTGGGCCTCACTCTTTATTCACCGAGGAGGAAATCGCCTAAACGGCCGATTATGGCACTTTTATTAGTTCATACAATGAATGCAAACGCTATAGCCGTATCTTCCACTTGTATTGGTTCATACAATGGATGCAGAAGCGGTATTTCTACTCCGTTCAATATACTTGACGCCACCTGAGAGAGAGCGAGGTTCCGTCCGGGAGCCCACAAACTGCGCATGCGCGCTCTATTTAGCCCGTGAATATATCTATCTTCTCAAAAAAAGATTTTCTTGTTTTAGTGTAGAAGTGCAATTCAGATAGAGCACTGCCTTCGATGCTCGCCCTCCCCCTCTCCACGGCGAAGGACAAACTCACTCAACCCCACAGCCATGAGGCCCTCCCTCCCTGCCTTCCCACATGTTGAAGCGTTTTCCATTGAGCCTTTAATTTAGTCGTGTGCCGCTTTAAAGGCCGAGCGGCAATACTGCACGGCTGAGCCGCCCAAGTGGCCACTGCGCTCGAATACGGCTAACGTTCCCCGATGCTCAGCATCTCAGGCTCCCTCTTGACAGGCATCAGCAACACTCTCAGCAGAAGCAGCAGCGACCCTGCAATTTGAAAGGGGAGGCGGAAGCTGCAGTGTCGCTGGCGTGAGAGGATCGTTAGCTGCTGCTGGCGGCAAAGCCTACACGCGTGCCCTTCATATTGTTTGAGGAGCCCTCCCCCCTCTCCCTCCTCTGCACTGCCCATAGGCGGCAAAACGCCTTGGCACGTTCTGTCGAGCTGAATTTGGCCTCCCTTTCTCAGTGTGCCAGCCGCCAAGCAAGGCGTAGTATCGACGTCAACGAAAGAGCCACCTCAGCCTCCTTCCTCCTACGCTGCACAGGATCGACTCGTCACGCTCCTCCTCAGCGATCATTTGACGCAGGAACGTCGAGAGGCGCATGCACGACGACGCGAATACTGCAGAACGCATGCGCGAAAGAAGGTGGGGGAGGCCCCTCGAAATCCCGCAGTGTGCAGCAGAGAGAGCCTCAAACGGCTTGTTTTTTTGAAGCACAAACTTCCGCACAGGAACTAAGGAAACACAGCCCTATTTCACGGCCTGGCGCGGCGAAGTGTATACGCAACACGCGGGAGGCAATTGGGGTGCAAGCGCAGAAGAAGAGGCAGTTCGTGGGGAGGCGATGGCTCAGGTTCCTTGGGAAGTGCTTTCTCGACAGCCAGTGGAGGCTTCTGCTGCGCTCAAGCAGTTGCGGCTGTGCTACCGAAGCATCCGCAAAGCTGCTGCTGCAGCCGAGGGTGCCGCCACTGCTCAGGGAGTGTTGCAGCAGGAAATCCTTGGCAGCCTCAAGACTGCGCATGCTGCTCTCAGCGAGGTGCTGCTCGCTGAAGCGAAGGAGCCGGCTGCAGAAGCGAGTCTGCGAAGGAATGCTTGCTTCGAGGCAGTACGCATTCGGTAAGCGCTTGCATGCAGGTGCAGGGCGGCAGGGCTGCTGTCTAGCCAGCTGTACAGGTGTGTCTATTGCGATCCAAGTGCATGCACCATGTAGAGAGGAGGGAGAAGGGCGAAGACAAGCAAGGAGGGTTCCTATATCTGTCGAAGGAGCCTGTCTCGGGGTAAAGTGGAGGCAGGAGTGGTGTAGCTTAGTGCCCTGTAGAGACGTGGGGATGGTTGTTCTGCGTATTTTTTGGCGGGGAGCCAGCCGTGTCTCTTCAGCTGCTTCATGGTGGCTTGCTGAAGCTGTTCGTGTGCACTTGCTGCTGCAGAGGATCGGCCGTACTTCCGCCGTGCTTCTGGCAGGTCGCGCGCCTCGGAGTGTACAGACACCTTATGGGGTTTCTTTTCAAGTGAGGGCCGTTGGAGAGCACACGTAGTAGGATAGGGAGAGCAGGGGTGTCGGCGTGGCTGCTGCGACAGCAGTGGCGGTGTTGTAACTTGTGTGCTTGCAGACAGCTGTGCGGGGGGTTGGGGTGGGGTCGGAAAGTGTTTGTTTGTTTCAAAACATGCGCATGGCTTGGTGGAGCGTGTTGCGTGTGCAGATTCGTGCCTGAACTTGACGGGGTGTGGCTAGCCTTCACGGAGACGCGACCAGCAACCCTTAGCAGCTACAGCAACGTCAGCAAGCACAGCAGCAGCAAGAGCGGCAGTAAGGGGGGAGCAGCCGCCCTCGGCTTTTTGTTGCCAGATCTGCACAGCAATGACGGGACGCTTCTCCTGTCCGTGGAGACAACAGCGCTCGTCTTTACTCCCAAAGTGGGAGACCTCATCAGTGAGTTTGGCCTTATCGTCAGGTGTGCTGGCGCCTTGGCCATAGAGGCGCCGAGGCTGCTTACTGTGTCGGTGTGTGTGGCGTTCGTTGAGCGTCTTTTAGTTTCCTCGCACTGCGTTTTACCAGGAGCGCGAGCCCAGAGGCCCCGCCTGCGCTGCTAGCTCTATGTGACACTGAAAGTTGTGGCAGGCGTGTGCAAAAGGTCTGACAAGAAGGGCTCCTACGTGGTGTAGTACATCCAGGAGACTCGCATCTTGTCTGACGGCGCCTTGTTGTCTCGCAGCGTGTTTAGCCCAGACGGTGCGTCCTGCAGTTGTGCGACTGCTGTGGCTTGGTCACTTTACCGCCGTCGTCCACCGAGAGCATCTAGGGGCAAGATTCCACTATCAAGAGGTGCGTCTGGAGGCAGCAGGAAGAAGAGCTATGCATGCGGGCACGCTGCAGCAGCAGCTGCGGCTGCCGCGTGCTGTGCCATCATTTCTAGGCGCTGTGCCGTCAGACCCTGGTTGCGCTGCAGGAGTGCAAGGCGTACGTACACCACAAGGACAAGAGCCGCCGTATCGAGGATAAGGCGTTCGTTCGCATCCACATCATCGAGTAAGGATCGCCGTCTCCGCACGCAGCAGCTGCCGCAACACCAGCGGCCGAGTCGTGAATGGTATCAACGGTCTCCTGTGCGTTTCGCGTTCCTGCCTCCGTTGCTGCAGGGTTCCAAAATCGCACAGTGGAGATCGCGTTGCCATACGCGGCTCTGTGTTAGCCCGCGGCTCGGGGCCTCTTGCTCCTGCTTCTGTGGCAGCAGCGTTAAAAGAGGAAGCTGCAGAAGCAGGAGACGGTGCTGCGGAGGAGCTGTCGGGCAGGGGATCTACCCAGCGGCGCTCCCTGGCCACGGCAGTGACAGCAGGAGAGGACGCTGCACCTCGTAAAAGACGAGAGAAAGGCTCTGTCGCCGCCGGCGCATCAGCAGAAAGGCGTGCTAGGGAGAATGACGGGGACTAGCGTGGAAGCAGTATTATGGCGGGAGGGAACCCCACTACGAATTATCGCTGATGCCCTTCGTGCCTGCCTGCCCTTGCTACGTTCTCGTGCCTCGGCTGACCCCCTGAAACGACGGCATCTGCCGAGTAGAGTGTGGAAGCGATCACGGGCTGCCTAAACGCGCTAGTATGATACCTGATTACGGAAGTGCATCTAGTAGCTGTACGGCTGGCAGCGCATCGGGGCAACATAGCGTCACGAGTCAGTGCCTCCCACTGCCCGTCTGCCGAAGCGAATAGAGACGGCACACGCCACATTTCTGGCCCGGTGCTAAGAGCGAGCGGTGTCTCGCTGCAGGCATGGCCTCTAGTGGCTTGAGGAACCTTACACGCTGGGGCTCGCCTATTCTCCAGGAAGAGGGACGGGAGTCAGTGGCGTGCGGGCAGACTAAAGTTACGCTTCCGATTTCAACGGTAGTTTATTGTTGGGGCTGTGCTCTTCCTGTGGAGACAGAGCTTCTCTTCAGCCAAGAAGGCTTCACGCCACCAACTCAACGGCCTTCAGTCCAGATCCGGCCTCAGGCGCAGAGCGTTGTGCGGTTTCTTATAGGGTGCTCGAGGGAAGATAAGAAACAAACACCACGGTTGTTCTCTACGGAGCGACACCTGCACTCGCCTCGCGTTGCATCCTTTTTCCTGCCAGTGTACGCTCTAAGTGGTGGCGGCAAGGGGGTGACAACGCAGGAGGCAGCCCATGATCGACCGAGACCACGGGTCCATAGAGCTCCTCAAAATGACCGCATCATGCTGACAGCGCCTCAGTACACAAATCCTGAAGAGTCGCCTACCTGAACTGGTGCATACAAGTAACGAAGGCTCAGATAACTGGCACGCATGCGGGGAGCTACAGGCGCACGGTGTAGGCTGCACCAGACAAGAGTGGCATAGGGGGAGTGCTGGGACTGTCAAGCGTCGTCTGTGCCTCTGCAGTCATATGAGCAGCGCAGCCCCTCGATGATGAGTCATCCTTTTCCCCTGTGTGCTCCCATCTGGCGTGGTTACATGCAGTGTCACTCCTGCTTCACACAGCACCGCCCTCACAAAAGGCTTTATTGCGGACTACAAAGGCGGTGCCTGCGGTTCCAGAGACAAAAAAATCGGACAAGAAGTCTCTAAGGAGCAGAGCTCGAGAAACTGTGTGTGCGCATAATTCCGGATGGCCAGTGGGTCGCTCGCTCGCTAGAGAACGCCTAAGGGACCTTTGTCAAAATTGTCTTTTCTGCCTCCCAACCGCTACTTTGTCTCCTCGGTTGACTAACTATTCATAAGATATCTCGATCTGTATGCAGTTAAGCCACCCAAAAGTTCAAAAGGCAAGCGAAACGCCCGTGGCACGCGCGCATCCCAGCACAAGGGGCACATACCACAACGTGCTTGCGCTGGAGCCCTTCATGCGCTGTACTGCCGTGCAAACGGCCAGCTTCCGTCTCTAATTGCAAAGGAGAGTTGATATGGCGAATTTTCTCCGCCCGATCCTCGCTCAGGAGCTCAGCACGCTGTCTGTTGCTGCATCGCGCGAACCGCCGGCTGCGTGGGCCCTTGTGGCCCACACTGTTGCTGCAGGCTTATAGGCTGGCACTTTGCGCGTTCATGCCTTCTTAATGGGCGGCTATTCGGCAAATCCAGTGCTTAATCTTTGATAGGAAGTGTGTGCACCTTCGGGTATTACTGGTGTCTCTTAGACTCCCCACATCTTGGGGGTCTCCACAATACAACTATCCTCTGCCCCTCGATCCCAGTTGTTGTCTGCCTGGGCTACGGGGTCCAGCCGCTTCGTTTGTTCTTGCACCCCCTGCCGCTTTTGTGGCGTCATTGAGCAAGGCTTGCCTGCCGCCAGTAGCGGCTGATACGTAGGGGTCATTCGCGGCTTACATGGATCCTCCACTGCAGAGTAGCGTGACAGAACGGCTCCCTGCTGAGCACCTGGGCCCTCTCGGCCCCCTGGAGGCATTCCTGTGTACACTACGCATCTTTTAGTGCTACGTTCCCCCGTCGAAGTCGAATTTTGCTGCTTGGGGTGCCATTGAACCCCATCAGAGGGGCCTCTGCCCGCCCCTCAGGCAACGCGGGTTTGGGACCACACACACCCTTCGAGAGAAGAGCAGCAGCTTCCGTGCATGCGCGTTCATGCTCGATCTGTCTGCATCGCCTCGCTCGCCGCATCGTCTTGACTAGCTGTGTGCGCTGCCCCTGACGTTCCGGCTGGGGGAGGGAGCAGCTCCAGATCCTTCTTTTGTGGGGTTAGCTGAGGCTCCTCGCCATCCGATCTGGCCTAGTGGGAGCGGAGCACTCCCCAGCCTGCGCGATTGTTCATATTATCTGCCGCTCCCACCTCTCAGGCAGCGTCTGTCTCTGTCTCTCTCTCTCTGGGCGCAGCGCTGTGTGCGCTGTTTCCCGCCATGCCTCTTCGCTGGCGGGAGTAATTGAGCGTCTGGCTAGCCGACGGCCCGGGGCAGGCGGCTAGCTGTCGCACTGGCTAGCTGCCGCAGTCGCTGCATTCGACGCCGCCTCGTGCGAGATGAGCAGCAGTGTCTCGGGTGAGCATCTGCACGGCGCCGAAGCACCCGCAAAAAGCCAATCTCACTCGATTGTTTTGCACCGAAAGGATGCCCGCAGACAGGCAGTCCGTCTTAGGGGCCCCCCCGGGGGGCCCCCCGGGGGGCCCCCCAGCTCCCCCTCCACTGGGAGTTCTCCCTGCAAGCCTGACTGACGCCGCTCCGGCGAGCGCCTTCTCGGGAGTAGACAGCAACATGAGCAGCAGCACAAGCAGCAGAACGGGGTGTCTGTACCCCTCGGGGGCGGGAGGGGGCATCTGGGGAGCAGCTGCTATCCCCAGTGCTCCCCTCCTGGGAACGCAGAAGACGCTGCTGCATGCAAAGAAGGAGAGACTCTCGCAGGGCACTCAGCTGATGGTTCCTTACTGGACGCACCGCCAAGTCATCATCAATCCCCTCGTGGAGGAAGACACTTGCGTGCCCTCCTCACAGGCTTCCGACTCCATGGGCTTCTTACCCAGTGTAAGTTTGCGTTCTCCTTCCGAGCTGGCGGCAAGGACGGCAGCCAGCGCGCGCGGAGACTGAGGGAGACGCAGAAAGGGGCCTTCTGGCGATAGAGACAAGGACCCTTGGTCGAAGAAAAGAGGCTCGACACACGCCGTCGCCATTCCCGCTGCCGTCGCCTGTGTCTGTGTGTTTGCTGTCTGTCGCGCTCCTGCGGCGGCTGCTCTTCGCAGATGCTCTACTCCTGCTGGCAGTTCGTGTCTCGCCCAACGAATCTTTGGTTGATGCTGACGTACAGCCTCTCGCTCATCCTGTACTTATTTAGGGACAAAAACACAGTCGTTCTCCTTGAACAGCTGCTGCTCCTCCTGGGGGCCCCCCTGCTGCTGCTGCTCTCCTTCGCCGTCTTCGCTGGGCTTGCCGTTCAGACCACCAGCCGACGAGAGGCGATTTCAGCGTACGTAGCTAGCTAGCTAGCTAGCTAGCTCTTGCCGCCAAGAGGAGAGGCTCCTGCGTCCTCCCAGGCAGGAGCGCCTTAGGGCCGTTACCATCTCACGCTACTTTCCCCTAGCTCACACCTCTCGGAGGGAGAACGAGAAAGAGAGAGAGAGAGAGAAACATGCACATAGCACTTGCGTTTTCTCTGTAAAATTGTCGCTATCTCTCGTGCTTATCCCCTTGCCAGAGACCGTCTGACCTGCCCTTCCCTCTGGCTTCCCTTCTCTTTTCTTTCCTGTGTTTTCCTCCCTCTCTCTCTCTATTCTTTCCTGCATTTTCCTCTCTCTCTCTATTCTTTCCAGCGTCTCCCTCTCTCTCTCTTTTCTTTCCAGCGTCTCCCTCTCTTTCTCTTTTCTTTCCAGCGCTTCCCTCTCTCTCCTTTCTTTCCAGCATTTCCCTCTCTCTTTTTGCCGATTTCTCTCTCTTTTTCGCCCTTCTGAATATGCCTCCTTGAGCCCTCGCCTCGACCCTTAGGGGAAACGCTTTCCCCACTGCCCCTCTTCCACTGCACCGCGTTGGCGGTGCTGCGCTGTCAAGACACCTTGCTGCCGGTATTTGCTTCAGTCAACTGCCTCCACGAGCTGCAAGGCTTCGGCTCATGCGTTATTTCACCGGCTTTCCTTGGGGCTGTTTGTCTTTTTTGTGCAGCACCATGTCCAGCGCGTTCACCTGCCACGTGCTCGATGGGAGAGAGCCCGTCCTCAAGGAGGTCAGCTTCGAGCAGAGGCGAAAGGAGGCCGGTGGCTGTGCAATCTACTGCCCTTCTCCTCACTCTCTTTTCACGAGCACACACACCCCTGTTGCCTTCTGCTGCACCCTCCCGCTGCTGAGTGTATCTGCCTCGATGGCCTTCTGCCGGGCAGCTGCTCCACAAGACGTTGGCGCTCTGGCCGCTATCGCCATCGTGGAGCCTTAGCTGGAGCTTGGCTGTTTCGTCTGCACCCCAAGTTTGTATTCTTGAATTGCGGAGGACACTATGCATGCAGCAGACCCCCTCACAAGAAGGAGGAGGAGTTGTATTGCGTGCCTCTGACTCCACTGTGCAGCTTCTTTATCCCTCAGGCAGTTTGGGGCACTCTCCGAGTGGGCAACATCGTGCGGGTGCATTCGGGAGAGTGCGTTCCAGCGGATCTGTTGATTCTCACATGTGGCAACGCCGATTCGGCAATTCTGGATTTGCGAATGATAGACAGCACGACGAGCTTCACTAGGCGAGTCTCTGCACTTCTACGGCCTCTTGTGCTCCACTACTAGAGCCTGCATCTCTCGCACCCCGCTGTTGCGTTCGCGCCTGCCCGCTGCCTTAGGCAGGTGTCTGTACGCCGCTCTGGCGGGTGTCTGTACGCCGCTCTGGCGGGTGTCTGTACGCCGCTCTGGCGGGTGTCTCGGGATTTTTTTGTGATCGATCCCCGTGTGCCTGACAGTGCCCGCCTGCCCCCTTACGCTTCGTGACCGCTCGCTGTGCGCACCGACGATGTTCCCACGCTTCTAGGGCTGTTCCAGCGCAGCTGCGTCCTCTCTGTGTGCTGCCCCCACTGCTGCAGGCGGTACTGTGTGCGAGATACAAAGACGGATTACTCGCTGACGGCGCTCGCTGGCTTACGGGGCAGGGTGGTCTGCGAGGGTCCTGCCTACAACTCGCCTCAATTCAAGGGCACTATACGCTTCGACGCTCGACCCCGAGGGACGCGTATCGTGGCAAGCAACGTTGCTCCAAGAGGTGTGTTGCTCAAGAAGGGTTGCGGAGGCGCTACTCTGCCGCCTTGTGAACACGCGGCGAGCATACTCCGTTTGTCAGAGTGCGGCTAGTGGCGGAGGGGAGGGGCAGCTGTTTGAACTTGCATGGCTCATGGGAGCACGGCAGTATTCTTGTTCCCGCCCCTCCATCTCCTTCTCTCGCCTCTGATAGAGGCGGAGTGGTGGCCTTTGCTGCCAGTGGGCAGCTGCGTCTCGGCTTAAGCTGCAGTGCTGCCCCTTGAGCGCTTGCTGTACTTCTCCACTCACGCGTTGGGATCCCTCTCTATGCGCCTGTGCGCGCTGCACATCTTTAGGGAGTATTCTCCGGTGGACCGAGTGGATCGACGGCGTGGTGTTGCATGTCGGAGAAAGTGACGCCTTCCGTCAGCCCCGCAGAAGCTGCAAGAAAAGAGGCCGAGAGCTCGAGTCTGCATGCACAGTGCTTGTGGCGAGCTTTGCCCTGGTGATCTTCCTCCTAGGAGTGGTAAGCCACCAGTCTCAATTGAAGCAGATGTCGCTGTGATTGGCAGTTTGCCGTACGATCTCTGACGACGTTTGCGACCATAGAGACGCGCCTCGCCCCCTGTGTGTGGCGAAGTTCATAAGTCAGACTCTCTCTGGGAAGCCCAGGTTGCCTCTTTCTGTATCGAGTCCATGCCAACGTAGTATAGACTGTCGCAGCACCCCACTGACTGTGCCTTTTCTAGGATGCAAATCGCAGGATGTCAGGGTTGGACGCATGAGAAATTACCCTAAAGGGCTCTCCGCTTGGCAAAAATCCGAGGCAGGAGCAGCGCCTGTGGTCAGTCTCGCGTACCAGGCTGGTGCTGCGCGTTTGACAGTTACCAGTTCCGCTGTTTGTTTCCTCAGGCACTCTTCGTGCTGAAAGGGCTGGTCAAAACGAATGCTGGCTTGAAGTTCAGGGTGTCAAGCTACACAGTCCAGCTCGCGCAGTGTCTCCTGTTATTGTCGTGCGGTCCTGTCGCCTTGTCTTTCGCGCTCGATCTCCTGAAGCTCCGACGCAAGGAGAACCTCATGCGGCCTGCAGGCGCCTTAGTAGACAAGTGCAGAGAAGGGCGTGGCAATGAACACGCGACAGCGCATGCAAAGCCTCAGCAGGCTCACGAGGGATGCCTCCAACAAGCCCCTCAGCGAAGCCAGCAGCGTCGCTACCCTTGGAGCAGAGAGAACTGTCCCTCCGAGCTCTACGGCCAGCTTGTGTGCCCCTCTGCCATTGAGGACCTATCCCGGATAGACTTTTTATTGTTTGACAAAGCTACAACTGTTAATGGCCATACACTTCGTCTCCACGGAGTGTGCGCGGGGGGAGTTACTTTTGTGCGGGAGCGCGTCGAAAGAAAAACAGGCAGCCAGTACAAGGCATTTGAGTGCCCGTCTTCTGACCTCGACAAAACTCGTGCTGCGCGTCCTCGCTGTTTCAATGTGTCGCCTTCTCGAAAAGCACGAAGCAACAACGCCAGTAACCCTGCGGGGCATGCCACGACCAGCGATAAGGAGGCTGCGACTCCCGGCAAATCGCCAACCTCCCCCAGCAACGGGATACCGATGTTTGATCATCATACAGAGGATATTGCAGCTATCGAGCACTACTACAACACTCACAGAGACGAGCGGAGAAGGCTGGAGGTCCTTGCCCAGGTGCAACCCCAACACATGCGAGTAGCGTAATAAAAAGAGTTTCTTTTCTGACGTGGGCCGCTAGGAGCCGCTGCAAGCGGCTGCCAGAAAGGGCAAGCATCTTGCTATGCCACCTTCCACACGCCTAGAACCGTGTGGCTTGACGTGGTGCTTCCGCAGCTTGCTTCAATCTGCCACTGTGCAACCCCATCCCCATCCAAGCGGATCTGCGAGGGTAACTCGACGCTTCAGAGAGGGCGCTGCTGCAATACGGGCTGCTTTTGGCGCAAACAATATGGAGGTCTACCCCTCGCGCGCACGCGTTTGCATGCTTTCGTTAGGCGGTTGTGATTCGGTGGAGACTTCAGCTACTGCGCTGCCATCGTCTTTTTTCCATTCTTTCTGCCTGTGCTGCGATGCGTCGCCAGAACGGGAAGCCGCGAATGAAGCTGCATCAGCCGCAGACGTCCACAGGGCCCCTCTAGATGTCGATTTTCAGGTGTGTATATGTCTGTATATATATATATGCGTCTCTGTGGGCCTTTCAATTGCAAAAAAATGGCCTCAATGCTTTAAAGACGTGCCTCGAAAGGCCTCTCAGAAACCTCCGTTGCTGGCGCTCTTCCCCACACCCACGTCCCTCCCCGTCCCCCTCCCCGAACTTTTTTCTTTACCCCTTGGGAGAGTTTCACGAGGCTGTACTGGGTGGCGTGTCTCGTGCGCTGGATTGCAGTCAACGCTTCCCGAAGACGAAACAACGCTAGCGCTGTGCTGTGCGCTGGGCTACAAACCGGTCCTTCGCCGAGGGACGCAGCTGCACATTGAGCATTCCCCTGCCAGCATGCCAGACTGTGCCTGCCAGCTGCCGCATGCATCGCCCGCATCGGCACCCCGTTTCTCCAAGGGGATGGCGAGTTGCTCAGGCCGTCGGCTAGCAGGATGCGCAGCCAACGCCAGCTGCTGCTGCTGCAGCGCCACCTCCCTTCAGACGCTTGTTGAGGCCGTCTTCGGCGAGAAGCTCTGCTCCGCGAACAGCGACCCCGTGTGTCTGGTGGAAGTCGTGGGAACGCATCTCCCCTCGCAGCGTCGACCGCGTCTGTCGTGCGTTGTCAAACCCATGGGGCATCGCTCTGGTGCCTTGCTGGTAGTTCGAGGGCCGGCAGGCGATGTTGCGAAGCTCTGCGAGGGCAGTCGCGATGCGTTTGTCGAAATCAATCGGGGAGGTGGCCCCTTTGCGGGAGCCTTCCGTTCCAGGGGAGTGCCTGCTGACAGCGAGCGCAGCAGCCTCGATGGCAGGGGCATCAGCAGCAGAGCACACGACGAAGGCGGATCGCCTGGAACGCACGCGCGCGAAGGGAACGGCAAGAGTCCGACGGCAAACGCAAATGCCGCCCATGTGCGCGAAGTGCTGCTCGCAGCGCAAAGATTCTCGCTGGAGGGCTGGCGACCTCTTCTCTTTGCTGCACGGGCCCTCTCTGCCGAGGAGCTAGCGCTGTACATTCAGCTCAGCGAGGAGGCTTCCAATTCGATGTACAGGCACGAAGAGCGATACGAGCAAGTCATCACGAGCTTCGAGACGAATCTGCACGTGCGTTTGCGTCCCCTCCGAAGAGCTTTCAGAGCCTGCGCTGTCGCTGGCAGTGCCTTGATCGACCTTTCGAGTGAACTCCTTGGGAAGGCCTGTGGGGGCTTTGCTTGTGCTGGTAGAGACTCTTAAATCTGGAACGGGCTACAGTTTTTCCCCTGGCATGCGCCTGTTCAGAAGCGGGGGAGGGGAGTTTGTACTGCGTGATGTGAGCATGGTGTGTGCGTGTGCAGCTCGTCGGGTGTGTAGCCGTAGCAGAGGAGCTTCAGCCGGGAGTGCGTGAGACTCTAGCCACCATCAGGGAAGTAGGCATTCGGCAGATAATGCTAGCTGGCGGAGACAAGCATGTGGCTATGGCAGCTGCACAGCGCTGTGGACTGTTGCCGTCGGTGGATTGGAGTGGTGATGCGAGCAAGACAGCGATGCAGGAATCCCGCCAGTTCCGTCCCTTAGGATCTCTAAGCCATCACCATGGAGATCTCACACTTGATGATGACGCTGCCTCGGAAAAGACCGACTCCGGGGACGATTATCCGTCTCAAGTCGACGAAGAGCACCCCAATCAGCCCCCAGCCTCCATGCAACCGTGTCGCAGATGCTATGAAAAGAGGACCACCAGGCAGCCGTTCGCGGATGCTGTACACCTGCAGGGCGAAGGCTTTTCAAGTGTATCTCAGGGATGCGAACCAGCAGGATCTCTGCATGGTTTAGCGACGAACGCACCAGCCTCTCACTCTCAGTGGGCCGTAGCGGATGCGCAACACTTGTTAAAGCGTTGCTCAGCTGAACTCACCTACCTTGCACTGAAAGACAGACGGCGACTTCGCCGGAGCACCTCTCCAGCGTTCTGGTCGTGTAATCACGGGATCGGCATACCGAAACTAGGCCTACTGAAAGTAGCGCAGCGTCGGTTCCCCCTCATTGGAGGGGAGGGTAAACGATTAGTGGAGGTTGGATCCTTGCGCGGCATGCCGCGGCGTTATTTTAAAAGGCACAAAGACTGCACTTTGCACCGCAAAAAGGCGCTCAACAAACGTGTCGGCTCAGGGCGCTCGTCTGTCCTCTGTCCAAGCGACATATCGCCTACGGGGGAGCACAGTGTGAGTCTCTCCGCACTGTCCGCTCGAAAAAGACTCCGAGTTGCACGTTGCTTCCTTCGCGTTTTCGAGGACATGTGGCGCCACGCAAGGATGAACGGCCAGGGCATTTGCCTTCTTTCTGACGCAACGTCGCTGTCGTTCTTCCTTTCGCATAAATCGCTGCAGGTAGGTCTCTCGGATTGCTCGCCTCTGGGCACACAAAAGTCTCCAGCAGAGAGGACAGGTTCATCGGTTTTTGTCGCGGCACAAACGGCGTGTGTGCTTCGAAATCTCTTCGAGTGTGGTCAAGCTGCGTTGCGGTGCGCGTGCAGGGGCTTTTTGTGTATGCCCTTTGTCGGGCAGACTTCAACGTGTGTGCCGAGATTCGGGGTGACTTGAAGCAGCAGCTTGTGGCATGCATCAAGAAGGCTCTAAAGCCCCAACCTGTGGTTGTTGCACTTGGCAGCAGCGCCGAAGACGCCGCCATGATGCGCGAGGCCACAGTGGGAGTTCTGGTGCTACAGCCTCGGACAGAGAGTGCGGTCGACGTCTCTGAGGCAGTGGAAGAAACAGCTTGTGCGCAAGGGAGGTTCGAATCGGGGGAGTGTGAGACGAGAGCGACAGCCGTCGGGCAGCTCGGCAGGCCACTCCACGAGACTGCCAGGAAGACGTACGGTAATTTGTTACCGCTGCTACCAGAAAATGAGCCGGCAGAAGACAGAGAAAAGCCTCTACGCTGCCCGTTGAGCACCCCCAAAAGCCCTCAGGCCTCGTATGGTCAGGCGACATCGCTAGATCTTGGCGTAAGTGGACCTTCTAAACAAGAGTCTCCCTTGCCGCGTCAGCAATCGTTGACAATATCGGAACCTTCGCAGGTGATGCGTTCCGCCAGGAGAGACAAGCGACGCAGCGGCAGGCACTCGACACGTGGATACAGCATCTTCGCCCCTTACATGCAGGCTGCATGCCTGTGCAGCAATAGCGCGGACGTGGTGCTGGCCTCATTTGAGTCCTTGCGCCACCTGATATTCAAAAAGGCACTGCTTGAGCAAGCGCAGAGCGTGCTGCTTGTAGACCAGGTTGTCTACTCCACGAGCCTGCTCTGCACCTTTGTCTTCGCAATGCTTTTAACCAGCCTGGTGGATTACAGCGACGTCACCAACTCGGTGTACTGTATCTGGTTTTCTCTCCTCGCCGTCATGGCGGCCTGTTTTATTGGACGTTCAATGACCGTCGCCCTAGATGACGAGGTAGGCGTGTGCGAGACACACTTTCCCCGTTTCGCGCGATAAACAGCAAAGCCCGTTTGCGGCTGCATGCGAAGCCTTCTGGCTTCTGCACTGCAGCATCACCCAGACTCGAAGTGCAGGCCCCCCCGTATGCAGAGCATACGTGCTGTGCTGCTGCTGAACTTACCTGTGGCCTTGTGTGCGGTGTGGTCTGCCCATTTTCGCCCTACACAGCGAACACAGTCTCTGTGCTATATGTGGCTGAGCCGCCGCAAGATTCTCTGGTGGAGGCGATGCCTTTGGACAGCTGCCGAGGGCATGGCCACTTCACTCGTCGTCTTCCTCCTGGGGTACTACTCCGTGGCTGGTGGACTCCGCATGGGAGCGCTGCTGCACCTTACCGACTTTTTCCTCGTTGCACTTTGTGTCGGTATTGTCTTCCGACCATGGCTGATCGCCATCAGCACAGGGGGCCGCCTTGCCCGAATGCGCGCGATCAACAAGGCCTCCCAGAGCCTGCGGCATATCGTGTATCACGGTGCAGCGATCGCAGGAAGGCTGCATGGCGATCGGAGGAGCTGTGGGTGCTCTGCGGACGCTATGCGCCCTCTTCTTCTTCAAACGATCCCCTTAGACCGAGGCTTGTCTTGCCGTGGGAGGTCTAGCGAGGAAGCTCTCAAGGAGAACTGCCCCCCGGGGAACTCTTTAGCTCGGCCTGCAATGCCAACGGGCAGCTGTACAGAGGCCGTTTCCCAACAGGTGCACACCGTGGATCGTTTCTCAGCCTCTCTCGATATGATTGCTATCCCTTACAGCTCAGCTGAAGACATGAAGATGTCTAGCATGTCCGTTTGGATCGGCTCCTTAAGGGCAAACACGGAGACGGAACGTGGCCTCTCGGCGAGCTGCGACACCCAAGGCGGGCTAGCCAGAGCTCCCGGACGGCTTTTGCGGCTGAAGATGCGATTCTGTGCCAGCCTAGGGCTTTGTGTTTTGCTCCTGCCCGTTGTTGCGCTGATAATCGTCCCCTGGCTCATATTGTTTCTGGAGAGCATGCTGTCTAAGGGGGGCACCAGCGTTGTGTCGTACCTTCGACTCATGCCATACAGCTTCCTAGCATGGTGGCTAGTGCTCATTCCCTGCATCATTGCCACCCTACTTCTGGCAGGCATCTTCCGGCAGTTCAGTACGCTGCTGGGCCCCGAGACGGTACTAAAGGCCACTGATGATGCATGCTTTGAGGCACATGCTGCTGCAGCCTTGGAGGGCGAAGCAGATGACCGCATGCAGGGATTATTATCAGCACAGAATCAGCCGCCGCACAGGCCTTTCACCTCTGTGGATTCCAGCAAACGGAAGGCAGCAGCGGTGCCGCAGCATGTCTGTGAATTCTGCTGCAACATTGACGCTTTTGACGTGTCAACCCTGAGGCAGATAGAAGTCAACAGGGGATCGCCTGAAGCACACGGTAATCAGTTGGAGGTGCAGCGTTTGGAGAAGCTGAACTTGCATGGCAGCCATGTGTTGCCACGACACACTGGGGTCCCTAGAAGCACTTTCTGCGCTCACCACAGGCAACAGCATCTGCTGCTTCTTCAGAGGATCGCAGCGCGACTTCCACCTCCACTTCGCTTCTCCTTGCGAAACAGCGAGGCAATTCGTCATGCTCTCTCCTTTTATCCCAGCGCGAACGTCCTTCCCCGCTCGTCAAGGGCTATAACAGTCGGTAAGATTCGGCAGCCGTAACTCTTGACCTGCTCGAAAGCCCTCTGCGCATCCGCGTCTCTTGGTAATCTCTGTGCTGCGCTGTGCACGTATATGTATTTGTGGTTGGTGTCGCAGCCTCAGAAAGCCCAGTACTCACTTCCCCACCCTGGGAAAGCGCATGGCAGACAGCGGCCTCGGGAACGAATCTTTTGTCAGTTATTGGGATGACAACAGAAATCGGCGAAGACGAGCATTCACGGCGAGTTCTCTCCGAAACGACTAGTTTGGAAGTTGAAGGCAACATGGTTGTGGATGATGAATGGTCGTGTGACAGTTCCTTCGACGCTGATAGCGAACTTGAACCTGCTGCCTCACTTGCGCCTCCTGCGGTGGGAGATAAAGCGGCCACAGAGCAACGGGCAAATGAAGCGTTCAAGGGCATTACGCTGACGTTTCGAGACCCCTACTTGGAGGCAGACTACCAGGTCGCGCGTCACAGGGAATTGCTGCGATCCACCATTGTTTTTCGCACCACACTTATTGTTTTGCTCGTGTTATGGCTGACATTCACCCTCGTCGCGATCGCTGTCCAAAAAGACATCAAGGGCCCGAGGTCGCTCAGCGAGTTTCTCCTTTTGATTCTACCCACCATACCCATTATTATACTTTTACTTTTCACCTTTCGCCATTCCTTTGCCAGTAGATTTGAGCTCATCGTCAGCGCCTCTGCTGTAACCTACATCATCCTGCAAAATGTGATTGATTACAAGCTGGTGAGCTAGCTTGCGTAAATGCTGGGCATCTGTCGCCCCTCAGCACCCTCATAAGACTCCTTCTATGTCGCAAATCTCCACCAAATTCGTGCATCGCCTTGAGTGCATCGGGCTGCTGCTTTTCTGTGCCTTGTATTTGACTTCTGCAGTCCGCAGATGGAATAGATTGCAGCTTGGCTCTAATCCTCGTGTTTGCCGTGATGCTGAGGCTTCCGTTCAAGTTGGCCACGGCAGTAAACTTGCTCTACGTTTTTACAAGCGTATTGCGTTACCTTCTTTCGTTTTGGAACCAGTCATATTTCTGCCGTCTCGCGTGTGCAATTTCGCCTCCTCGTCTTCTTTTCCCCGTCACCAGTTCGCGCTGTGAGGAGGGCTTTTCTCTCGATCGGCTGGGCCGCTGCATCCCAGCAGACTCAGAACTGCATCAACTGATGGCTCCACTCAAGACACGGCAGGAATTGCTGGCTGTTGCAGCGTCGTACGACACAGGCTTGACCCCGGAGGAAATTCTGAGTAGTCGGGAGCCTCGGTGTCTGTGCACTTGGCAGCTTTTGGCCTACATCCCTTGGGTCCTAGGGCTTGTGGCACTCATGGCATTTGGCGGCTATCGACAAGAATACAACCAGCGGAAGCGCTTTCTTCTAGACACTCAGGCATGCCGCATGCTCCAATTGCCGCAGACAGCGTGCTGAAGCAAACTCTAAGCGAGTAGATAACCATGTTCTTTGCATCCATTCTCTCCCCTCCCCTGCAAGTAGTGGAGGCGTGAATGCAAGCCGATTGCATGATGTATTACTGAGGGTCTGCTCAGGTTCAAGCAGCGCGCATGCGCAGCAGGGAGATCCTAAATACGATGCTACCGTCCTTCGTTGTGGCCAAAATGCTCTCTGCGGCGCACAGAGACCACAGGCAAGTACATTGTTTTGTTCCCTCGTATTCGTGAGCTCTGAAGAGGCCTCTGGTGATGCTGAAACGTATGCTTTCGTACACATGTGGCTCGTTCAGCGCTCCTAGATTAACCGATCCATTTTGCGTCTCAGGCTAATGGATATGCCCAACGGAATCCCCTACTATTTGTGCTCACCACCCCTTTTTCTATCAGTTCTCTTTTGCGACGTGGCGGACTTCCACACTCTGGTCTGTGCCTTTTCACTGCCACAGGTTAGTGCAGAGTCGTAGGCGCGTAATTGTCTGCTGCTCAAACTCCCTGCGGGGGTTACGCCTTTTCAATATGACCCTGTAATGCCATGCGTGCACTGCTGCGTGGCAACGCTGTACATGCAATAGCGTGCCTGGGAGGTGATCCACCCCTAAAAGTGGCCTCTGGAGTACTGACTTCGGCTTCCCGTTCAGGATTTGGTGAAGCTTTTAGACGCCCTCTTCCTGTGCTTCGACAAGTTGAGCGAGCAGTTCCAACTGGTCAAGATCGAGACCGTCTTTGAAACATACCTTGCTGCCGCAGGCAAGACCCTTCGAAACATGTTGATGGGTATTTGTTAGCAGGGGGTGCACAGGTCTGTTTTTTCGAGTAATTGCCTGACTATCGTGTTTTATATAGTGCTGACTGAACGGCTGCATATCCTACCCCTATTGCGAGGGGACGCAGCATAATAGGTAGTGGAGGGAAGGCTGAGGAAGTTTTTGTCGAAACAATGCTATGCCTTCCGGCAATGCGTAGCGTCTGGTGTACGTCAGGGCTTAATGACCCCGTTTTGTGGGATGGTGCTGCCGGACAAATGAATGAGGAAAGGGATTCCTTCAGCGAACGCGATCTCGCCAAAGTTCAGCAGGGCGCCTTCAGTGCTGTGGAGTGAGAGTTGCTGCACTATTTTGGAAAGCCATGATGATACACAGGTTTCTTGGTTGTGGCAGATCCGTTGGGTGTGTCCGGCATCTAAAATTAGTGCCGTATTTTAATGCGAAGTAGGAAGCATTTTTGATGGTCTTTCTGTTGCAATGCTGCGGCGCTGCGCGTTGTCGTAGGACGGCATTGGCAATGCTCCAGGTAACGATGTATATTACATATGATTCTGCCGAGATGCCAACTAGGGCGCCAGGAGAGTCAGTTCCTTGCCAACAGAGTGCACCGCAGGAGAATGGCCTCTCTCCAGCAGCTAACGACATTGGTGGACAAAGGCAAACCCGCCGAGTGCAAGTTAAGATTGGCATTCACAGTGGAAATGTGATTAGGTGTGTGCTGGAATCCATGAAGCCGAGCGTTGATCGGTTTTTGCATTAGGGCTCTGCCACAGCCTAAAGCAACAAGAGCCCGGGGACGTATTGTCGCGTGAGAAAGCTTCATTGGTCGTCCGACTTCTTTTAGACAATGTAGCGTTTTTGTCTGCTGCCTGTGTTTCTCACAGTGGCGTCGTGGGCTCGCGGAAGCCACAGTACGCCCTCTTTGGCGATACGGTCAACACCGCTTCAAGGATGAAAAGTACCAGTGCGCTACAGGACACACACAGAACCTCGGTTGATGCGAATCTGTGAAACTGCATCGCTTACCATAGTCGTCTATTCCATCTACACCGCCCCTTTAGCCCGCCTCGAAACGTGGCAGTGCTGCTTTGTTTATCTGATTGCATGAAGAGACGTCCTACACATCCACGAATGACCGCTCAGCATGCAACGCTCTGCTTAGGGAGGCGTGCCAGCCTCTGTTACTGCACTGCTGAAATCTGTATCGGCTCTATGTACAATGCCCCTTTCAGAGCAGCTGTCCTTCATGGCATTTTGGTGCCAAGTTCGTGACTGCGTGTAACTTGCACTGGTGGGCCTGCGTTCATCGTTCTGGTAAAGTTGTCTTGTCCATAATGTGAAACTTGCAGGTGTGGCTGACGGAATCCATATAAGCGGCGCAACCCACCGCCTTGTTGCCCATGACCACCAATTCAAGTGGAGGGAGGTCATTGTCGACGTGAAGGGCAAAGGTTCGCCATGGAGTGCACTTGACGCTAGTGCAGCGAGAAGCCTATCTGCAGTACTGTTTAGCAAAGGCTGGCTTCATCGTCTCCCTCAGTCACGCCTGAACGCAGTGTAACTTTATGCTACTAGGCCCCCAAGGTGCGCTGTGCTTTCCTGCCAGGCCCCATGCAGACGTACATGCTTGACCATGTGGTGGTCATGCGGAGTACATTGGACGACCCTTCAGCTCGCTGCCCTGAATCGGGTGGGCATTGTCGCACCATTACAGTTGGAAGTAGCACTGTAACTTACGGCCAAGAGAGCGAGGATGTTTCATCCCTGTGCCAAGGCGTCGCGCAGTGGCCTCGGCAACATCGCATGCACCAAGGCGAAAGCCTTAACGCGGCAGCTGCGAACACCAGCATCGCTGACGCAGATCAAACCTCTCCGACGACCTCCAGTGGCGCTTTGAGAGCCATTTTCTCTTCAGAAGCACAACGGGGTATACCGCATGTGGATGAACCTTACCACTCCGCTGGGTGTCAGAGCTTGAGTATCATCAGCGACTACTCCTGCGACGGCCAGCCGAACCGCCCTGCATGCCCACGGCAACATTCGTGCAGCTTTTCAGACGCCCCTGCCGGAGGACCACTGGCGGCTTTGGACCACGGCGAGCCGAACGATGGTGGCATCACTGCAGACTTCGTTTTTCAGGCGAAAGAGTCAATCCCATACGACAGACGCTCAACGCTTTCGAATGATCGCTTTTCACGCTGGCGCGGCTATGAGCGCATGCAACGCATTACGCATGCAGTTGCCTTGGTTTTCATGCCAGCCCAACTGGGCTCTAGTGGCAAACGCCGGAAGTGCAGTTCCTATGGGAGGCAGCCAAACGACCGCAACAGAAGTGCTGTTTCTTCCTCGATAGAAAATTCCTGTCCAGATCCTCCAGCAGGCGCTGGCCGAACGGAAATCGAAGAACCACTTTGCAGGAATGCAGATGACGGGGACGAGGCAAAGCGGTCTAAACTGGCTTCAAGGTTTGCCCGCGCCTTTGGATGGAATGCCCACATGAATATGGTGCGCCTTCGATTCTGCCGAAGTGAAATGGAAGACAGCTACAAGCACAACTTTTATTCCAATAAGGCCCATATCAATGCAATTGAGCAGGCGCTCATTATTTTTTTGGTGAGTTTCTACAATTTGTATGTCTATATAGAAGCCGTTTTATTGTACTACGAGCCTCAACACTCCGCAGCTCCCGACGATTGTTACGGCTTTCGAGAGATTTGCAAGCTGAATGCGGAATGTATCGATGTGCATGCGTGTCTCTTAAACTGCAGGTGGCATTTGTTCATGAATCGGTCGCCTTCCTCTCGATGGACCGTTTGTCGCCAGCAACATGCGAACTGTTTCAAACGCAGCGCATGCTTGTTTGGAGCGTCAGATCTTTCGTCGCTTGTGCTGTCCTCTTGCTTTGGCTGCTTCTTCATTACAGGCAGAGGGCAAGTATTTCAGTGAGTTTACAGAGCAGAAGCTCACAACTGCTCAACTTTCTGATCTGCCAGAGTATCTTTCGATAGGGCTGCCTTGATGCCTGTGCAGACAGGAGGCTTGCAAGTGCACCCACAAAAAGGTTTTTGCTGCCCACCAATAGGCTGCTAACATTCTCTGATTCGTTTACTTTCAGTGGATGGGAATACGCTGGCTGATATTTTGGCTTAATCTGTTATTCATTTTCGCTGCACTGGCCTTTGTACTGACAAATTCAAGTTCTTTAGGGTAAGCACCAGAGCACCATTCGATAGAGCTTCCTTGCTGCTGGCTGTCCAGACAGAAGGCTCTCAGCAAGCGCCCTTACGGAGAAAAGGTCTTTGTCCGTCTCTAATTATTGTGATTGATGCTCGGATTTTTGTATACTGAACGAGGCTGCTTATGCCCTTGCATCATGTCTTCTCGTCTAACGGAATAGTGTTTCCACGGGTGTGTGTGTGTGTGGCATACTTAGCAAGGAAAACGTCGCGGATTGGCACACTGCGGACACTGTAGAGCTCTCTTTCTTCCTCACCCTGGTGCACCACAACACCGGCCTTTTGTTTCAACACGTCATCTTTGTGGATGCGCTTCTCATCTCTGTAAGCAACAGCAGCTCCATTTGTCACTCTTGGCCCCATGCTGTCTGTCGGCATTTGCTGTAAAAGGCTGCCACATTGCCTATATCAGTGTCTGCACTGACTATAAATCTTGAATCAATCGTTTTGTCTGCATGTGTACTCAGGCAAGCCTGAGCAGTGCCCTGTTGGCATCACCAGCCACGACGGAACGCCTGCGCGGCATTTTAATAGTATCATTGCTCCTTGTTGTAAATCTCATATCTTGCTACGTGCGGGTACGTCTATGAGTTGACGCCGCGCCACATCACACCTGTGTGGCATCTAGCATGCAGGCAAAACAATGACTGGCTCGTATGGCAGCGCATGCATTTATCGAGCATTGGGTGTGTGCAGGAGCATGAGGACCGGCAGACGTACATCGTGAATCAGGAAGCGAGTGCATTAGAGCGACGCAGTCTGGAACTGCTAAATGACATGCTTCCAAAGGAGCTACTTGTTGAGTTCCAAAACGACAATTTGCGGCTTGCATACTCCCATGAATCCCTGGCGTTTCTGTTCGCGGATATATGCGGATTTACGGCGTGGTCTAGGAGTGTCAGTGCGGAGCAGGTTCTTTCGCTTCTCCAAGTAAGCAAACCCTTGTTATGGCGCTTTATGAGCCTCTCTGCAGATGCCTTAGCTGTTGCAATGCCTCTACTACCCATCGTGAACGAACATCTTCCTTCTCAGACATGCCCATTCACACCAGGGATATATTTAGGTTATCAGGAGGCCTGCACTGGCATCTCAAGGGAGAGGGGTTTTCTTGCCTACTCTTCTTTTACAGCGTCTCTTCACACGATTTGACAGAGACACCATTGCTCTGAACCTTTACAAGCTATGCACCATTGGAGACGCCTACGTTGCGGTGTCTGGATTGCATATCGACTCCCCAGCGCATGAAGCAATAGCAGGGGCGGCGCATGAGGCTGCTACGGTGCGACACGGGATGCCTGGAACACTAGGGCAGGCAGATTCCTTTACAACTCCTCGATGGCACTCTCAGTGGGAGGCTTCATGCGGCGGAGATGCTGGGGGATGGCGTGCGGAGCGCCATGAGGCAGACGAAGCGTGCCGGGTATTGTGTATGGCACGGCAAATGCTTGAACATGTACAAGCGGTAAGGGATGAAATGCAAATCCCTGGGCTGAACATGCGCATCGGGCTGCACGTCGGCTCTTGTGTCGGAGGCGTGATCGGGAGTAGACGTCTGCGATACGACCTGTGGGGTCTTGATGTACTTGTTGGAAACGACATAGAAAGCAACGGCGTTCCAGGTCAAATATGCTGCTCAAAAGAATTCAAAGTTGCTTTCCAACAAGAAGAACACAGTGAACCCCATTGCTGCGAGTGAGTCAGCTGTTTTAATGAGGCCACAAGTTGGTATTTTGCACAAGTTTGAAAACCGCTGCATAGTTGCTTATTCACACTGCACTGTGTCTTGTACGGAATGATTGATGTGTTCTCAGTCGACATGTGGCTTTTGTATTGCTAAAGAAAATCCGCGTGATTCACCGCGAGGTAACAATCTTCACAGTTCAGAGCGCATTCGACGCAAATGTCTGCGGAATTGAACGTTCCAGTTCACAGCGTGAGCATGAGGCATCCTCTGGCTTGGACAGCCTATCGGGGAGTAGCACTGAGAAGCCCCTTGGAGATTCAAGGGACTCTCTACCGTCTAAACTGCCCTTTGAGCCTTTTGATACGTCTAGGTAGGCGCTACAAGCATGGTTTGCCTCTACAGCAGCGAGGACACCTCAGCCTTCACGTCTAGAAAAAGCTAGCGTAAGCCCGTTACCATCTAGAGGCATTTACCGTTCCTGTGTCTTGACCTAAAGCCACATTTTGAGGTTTTGTACTGTCACTGATGCAGGCTCCGGTCGGCGCACTTACGAAGACGGTATTGCCGTATTCCTGCTTAAACGTAGGACGCCTAAGGGCCAGGGAGGCAAGCGCCTCATATATCCGCATCTCCACTCTTCGCTCAAGGCCCCAAAGATAGTTTCGGGCTGTATTCTGCTTGACCTGTAATGTTATAATTCTGCACCCCGACTGTGCCATGATTCCATGAGAGGACGCGACGTCATCGCAGACTCGGCCAGCAGCTGGCGCATCTGACATAGTTCTCCTTTGCGATTGTTACCACTAAAAATGTATGTTGCTGCTTAGTCAGCTCCAGTGGTCACTCCCGGTGTGCTGAAAATGCACTGCTTCGAGAAAGCAGCAGCAGCTCCAGGACGTTGTATTGTACTTACACGTTAAGAGTGGCGTGAAGCTGTAAAAGTACTTGCACTACATCGTAACGCTTTTCTATTCACCATTTTTTTAAAACGGTCGCACCAAAGCTGTTTGTAAAACCTTTTTTCCTCATAGCTTTAGCAATACCCATCAAATAAACACCCGAATTTGTGTAGTTGATTTTGACTTATGCTGACTCACTGCCGAGCAGACCTGCTGCTACCACTATGCTTGATATAACATGGCACTAAGACCCTACCACCATTTACAGTCAATCATATTGCCCCGTATGGTAGCAGTGCAGCATTTATTTCATGCAATCGACATGACGACTTGTTTGACCGCCACTTGTCTTTGCACAGTAACTCTGCAAGCCGAAAGGACTGCATTCAGCCGTGCTAGCGTCCACGTTTAATAGCTGGTAGTAGCCCTTTAGATTCAAATTGTGCAGATTGTTCACGACAAGTGGTAGGATACATCAGTAATTAGAACTTGTCGCTAGTATGTTAGATAATGCTTGCCCTCAGGCCTCAAAAAACACCTTTTGTGTGCTGAAGATCACTATTGCAGACATCCATCTACAACCAGTGAAAAAAGACAGAAACTGTAACAGAGCAGCAAATCAATTGAATTTCGTTTCGCAGCGCACGCGCCGGAGGACCTTTTGGTAGGAACCTCGAGGGCGCGGGGTGTCCAATGTACTACACCCAAAAGTTGGTGTCCGGTGATGCTCTTTAGGAAGCACCTACTAGGGCGAATTGCTTAATCAGTATATACACTATTTTGGCAAGACCCTGCCTCGGTAGTTCGAATTAATAGAGTACCGTTTTTGGCTTGCCCATTGTCAATCGGAGCAAAAAAGAAAACTATTCCAGTGTAAGCCTGCTGTTCATTAGAAACGGAATAGTCTTGATGAACACTCAATAGCAAGTAGCTTAATAGGCTTCTGATCGGCATTGCGTGTGAGGCGTGTGGGTTTTGTTGTGTGATGCTGGAAGGGCTCAATGAATGGCAGTCTTGCCTAAACTGGCGTTACTGTTCCTGTCTTCTCCTTTGTTCCACGTGCATGCTCTCTTCCCATTTTCTACTGAGTGTGGCAAACGAACAATGCTGCGCCAGGTGCTATCAAGAGAAGTCGAACTTACTATGCCAACGATAGAGATGCTTTGTCTAAATTTCTTAATAGCTTAGCAAACTGCCGTGTATCGCAAATCACGTGCGGCATTATATATGCCAAGGTATACATTCTATTGTTGATGCTGCCCACGTTGACGGTTGGTCCTTGTCAGGTCACCGACATCCAATTTGCGGCGATCTACAACGTACCCCCCTCCCAAAAGACCTTTAAGTTCACTCCTCTGGACAGTCACTCAGGATAAAAGTAACACTCAGGTTTTGAAACCGTCTTTTCCTCGCTCCTACCGCCCTGTTCCTAGGCCGCAAGTGGGAATGTTGGCGCCGTGCCATGAAATTATTCATTTCTTTCCTGTGTGCACGATGGTGCTACCCCAACAAACTCAAGCCACTGATAAATTTTTCATGAACACCCACAAACATATGCACGCAGAAGTGCGTACTTCAATACCAGTCGAAAAATGCACAGATCGATGTGTAAGCGGCGCGTCTCTTTGGCATGTGGGATAGGATAGGCCCACAACAAATGTTCGCGGTGGACGGACAACTTTGTGCATTGGGGAGAGCTGTCAGTGAGCCACCTCCAGTAACTGGCGTGCTTCAGCCATTTGACATGCTAGCTATTGCCCCCTCTACGTCGGAAATCGTTGGATCAGACTAACTTTCTGGCTCAGCTTTTTGCCGTAGTTCTCTGGGGTGCTTTGTAAAATTGCCGGACACAGAATACATACTGACACAGCTGGAGTTTGATATTTTTGCGGCATCTGACAGTGACCTTCTCCACAAGCACCTTGCTGGTGGTACAACACGCAGACATTTCGGTTGTCAGTGATCTAAGTCAACTACCGCAGTCGAGAGGACACGCGGCCTACCGGGTCTCCTAATAGTTTGCTTGTTATGACAGGATCCATCCTGTAGCTGGTAGTTATGTACTGGTGGCTAGGGTTGCTGTCCAGTGGGCTTGTTTCGTGTTGAAGGATAAGGCGAATTTAAGTTAGAAGTGGTATGCTCGCTCAGTGACGCTTCTTCCAACACACCGGCTAGTTCATAGGGAAAGCCTCGAGCTAGCAATGAATCAAGTAACCTTCAGGCCAGCACTTTCTTGAAGCTGCGGCCCGTGATGCACTTTGCCATAAGTCTTCATGATATCTCTTTCTCTGTCCATAATATTACCCTAGCGCTAAGAACTTGCTCTCGGCGCCCACTGGCGGGCAGTTGCGACTGTGCATTGGCCTCTATGTAGCCTACGCAGCTGATTCAAGCGTAGCGATGAACTCGCTACGTAAACATGTCCCAGGACTATTCCACGCGACGTTATAAAGGCACGCCTACAGTGCATCATCCTGCACATACAGTGTACACACACACACACACAAACACACACACGGCAACTATATTGTTGTGGCAATAGCGTCTGCACAGCTTATGTTGCCGGTCTATTTGAGCTCTACAGCCAAATAATGAATTACGAGCTCTTTTTTAGTTTGGAAAGCTCCCTCAAATGCTCGCCATGCTGCTGTTCCACTAGCTGGCGGAGATGCTAGGCCCTGTTCTATGCGTGTACTACATTGCATTGGTGTACGGCACTGTCAGTCCATTGCAGTCGCCCAATGCCTTTGCGCCAACTACCTCATGCACATGCATGCTGAAACGCGGAACAACATGGCAGTCCTCTACTGATGCAAGTTTTTAGCCACTGGTGTTCTGACCATAGTGGCGTCCATAAATACCCGAGATAAGCCGTTCCATATCTTTGCTTAAGCAGACGTTCCCGCGCAGTCAGTCCCTGCTAATTTGTTCAGAAGCTTTGGGTAAACTCAAAGCCTTAGATCCTTCTTCAGAACATGTTCAGGCAGAGGCATAATACACGAGCTGCGACGCCTCCACAGTTTTGGAAGTCAGTCAACATTTCAGTGCAAGAAAGTAGCCTTCTCTCTATCTTCAAGCTGACTACTTTATGAGCTGATGTGGCATGTACCCGTGAACACGAAGCCTGCTCCGCTTTTAACAGCCTTGACTACCAAGTCGCTTGTATTCGTTGGCTATTGAGAGGCCAGAAAACAGTTTTGTTCTAAACAGATCGCATGAACAATTCACGAATGCAAGAGCTTTCGCTCAGAGACTTTCAGTGTCACATGCACAATGTACTGGCTGTCAGCTATGGCCTAGTAGGATTGTGTTGGGCGGAAAGGCGAAATACCCCTCGACTGATGGGATCAGCAGTACGCTCAATCGTACCTATGGTGCTTCCTCATTTTCCACTTCTAAAGCCGGCAACCTACTGTCCAGATGTCTAAGCATCTCATGTTGAGTCACCTCGTGCTTGTTGAGGCCAATCAAGCTACGAAAGAATACTGCTCTCACTGACTATAAAACACAAAGAATTGTGCAGTCATACGAAGCAACGCCTTGAAAGCTACTGGTACAATGAAGTCATCAGTTACAACTTGCTACATTACACTTAGTTTTAACCAGATTCTAGCTCTTACAAGCGTCCGTAGTGGATCAATACATAACAGAGCAGCACACATTTGACAGATCTGGAAATAGATGGTTGCCTGAGGGAATGTAAAACTAAGATAGTCATGTTAGTTGCTGAGAACTGTAATTATTGGGCTGCACCAGAAATTGCCACAGCATATAGTTGGAACCGTCCCGGGAGAGACTCACAAACGAGACTTTTTGACAACTGCTTGTATTAACTTAGATGTTACTGTTTTGAGTGGCTGAAGTAGTGCTAGGGCCCTCCAACAACGTAGCCTAAGCGCAATGCCTCTGTTCTACCATGTGTAGCTCAATACGACTGCTCTACGAGGAAGTGCTGTTTGTCACATATGCCTCCCAATCCCATTGTAACTTACGTAGGCACGTTGGATATACCAAATTTGGAAAAATTTTGCTGCTGTCTTCTTACATTTCCTCTTCTAGGGTGTTCAAGCCTTGTGAGTGCGCATGGGTCAGATAGCGTCGATCACGGCTGAACACGATGAAAAACTCTAGTTCCTCTTCTGATCATCCTTTGTCTGTATGACCATGTATATGTTAACAATGCTGAAAAAGTGGTAATAGGCAAACACGTGCTGGGAGGCATTTGATGATCTGTGGATAGACTGACGCCGATGGTATCCCGTAACTAGTGCGGAGACTGTGTGCACCCCGCTGCAGTAAATCAGGTACTCACTAGCTAAACTCGAGAAAAATAGTTACCATACAAGCTCTGTATATCAACACACAATGTAATTGGGCAGATATTCGTGCCATTCCTAAAGGACGACCGATTCCCATATGACCGTGGATGAGGCCCAGAGCAAATAAGAGCCATCGGTTGACCACGGCTAGGCGAGTCAAAACCTGAGTAAATTCATATCATGGGGCCACTTTTTGCACCTCAGTTTGCGTACAGCTCCGATGCTTCACTGGCAGCTCCGCTTGATGTTCCCTGGCCCAGAGAATTCTTGGTAGCCATCAAGTACACGCAGCAAAAGGGAAGCGGCAGCATTGTATCGCCCCCGCAAACACTGCTACGATACTGAGACAATTAAGACAACAATGGACGGAAGGGTAAGTTTGTTTCGATTTACGTGGGTTGCTTTTCCCGTGCGATTCAGCGTGCTGAGCCCCCTCCGGTCGTGTGATGTAGGCGTTTATTTGGGGAACTGAGTCGAGCCTGCCTCTCCAAATACTCGACTGATAGCAGCGAACGTCCTTAGGTCCTCTCCAGAGAGTGCCACTGTAACAGAAGAACTGGTTCAATTTCAAATTACATCACGCGCCAAGCATAACACGCTAGACACCCCCATTTTTGGTACGCCGCAAAAAACCCTCCTAAAACACTTTATTGGGTCGTCTAAGGCAGTCAGTACACTCCTTCATAGTGATAGACATAGTGAGCCCTCAAGGGGGTTACCCTCGTTGGTATGACCTTTTTATCCGACTGGACGCCTGGTTGCAAATATGAAGAATTCCTGCACTGAACAGGGAGGCAATCGACCTCCGGCACCAATACTTACCACAGTATCGACTCTGCTGCTCTTCGTGCTACTTAATGTACAGTTGTGTGCAGTTGTGCCTACATCTTCGATGCCCAACTCACTCCTCCTGAATGGCCGGCTTCGCGGTTCGGACCTGCTTAAAGTACCTCCCCTACGAGAGGCTATCAACAAACTTAAAAGGGCAGAGACCAACCTAGTATCTGTAGTAATTAAGGAGATACATGTGCAGGGCGAACAAATGAAGGGTTCGACTGTTGGAACAAGGGAAGAAAGTGGGGCTATCCATGTGATTGACAGCATCACCCTTACAACAACTGCTGTGCAGAACTCAGGCTCAGGAAACAATATACCAGTGGTAACCAGGTACATTGTACGTTCTGGTTGCTTTAGTCATCCTTACTGCCATGGGGATATGCTTCCGAGTGACTGAGGCTCTCAGTTTCCGTGTGGTTAGAATAAGTGAGCGTAATGTACTGTCTTTTCCGCGTCCTCCCGTCGGGATAACCCCACGGCTGGATCAAAGTGATGCCAATTTTTCTACCAATGAAAGTGGCGAGGATACTGTACCCACTAGAGGCCCCAGTCCCCATAGCTCCCCAAAACGACAGTTACATCCTTTGAGGCAGCAAACACTGTTTTTGAAATAAACTCAAAAATGCTATCCAGACCTCAGAACATCGGCATGCAGGATTTTGGCGAAGCCCTCTGAGCCATTTCGCAGTAGTTGCAGGATACAGTGTCTGGCTCTAATTGCAAACAGACGCAACCGAACAACCGCTTACCACCAGTATATTGTAGGAGGAAAGCGCATGCTACCCAATAAACATTAAACAAGTGGTGTATTGTATGGTCTTCCAAAAAGTCCAGAACAGCTCGATAGATTCACAGTTTCCTATCCAGAGACGTTCGCACACTGTGTTATTGTTATTTTGACACCGGAATAAAGCTTTATTGTTGCTACTGTACCTGTCCTAGCCCCCAGAAGGGTGCTGCCGATGTTTAGCAACCATAGGGGAGCTGTGGAGTAAAAGCCAGCAGGCGCCTACAGAGAAACGATGCATTGTTGACCCAGGTTCACGGCTCTACACAATTTAGGATAAGCGTAAGAAAGTCGCAATAGGCTGGAATAACACAGAAGTGTAACAGCAAGAAGTGCCCAAAGTTGATAATCAAGACTCAGATGAACCTGCATGATACAGCATGACGGGACGATGGCCATTATTCTGCACAAAAACAACAAAACTTGAGCATGTATACTCAGTTACCTTCCCAGCTCAGAAATCACATCATAAGGGCTTCGTGTCTTTGTTTTTCTCCGATTAAAGTAAACCTTGCCAATCTGATGATAGGCAACAGTCTACGGTGTCTCACGCTGTGCTGATCCCATATTCTGTGTTGTGTTTAAAGGCAGGAACCTACCCTTAACGCCCACTTCAACCTACATGCAGATCAAACTTAGGCCCCTTTTCCTAACGCTGCTTAGCGTTTATGGCTGCGGAAGCGGCGGTGCTATTTACTTTACATTGATTTTTCGAGGACAGTCAGTCGTTGGACCGCTGTTAAATGGAAGAACATACATCCCACGAGTTTTCGCACAGTCCTGGCTAATTAAAGGAATCCTTTTGGATATTACAATGTTGAATCAATAACTTTACAATGTAAAGCTGGTTTGTGCTTCCGCTGCTTTTTTTGGGGTCTTAGGGCACTTGACGCACAGTTTGAAGATTATAGATATATGCGGGTAAAGTTTAGCTTCTCCGTTTGTCTTTTGAACAAAAAACACAATACGATTTGCTAGTACTAACTATGAACTATAAGTGACGTGCTTCAGCGTGATTTTTGTTTGTCGTGCTTCCTAAACACATATTTCCGAGCTTGCAATACGGCCATCTGCACATCTACAGAGTTATAAGCTTTAGGGATTATTCTAGAACGTTAAACGCCTCCAAGCAGAAGATAAATGAGATCGAAAGTATTGCCCTGAGTAGGTTGACCTGCTTTTAAAGCGTGAAGAACCAGGCTATCTAGATAATCATGGATAGCGACTCGTTTGTGCGACGATACTGACATTGTCGACGAGATTCGTTTTTATGGGTAGCGATATAATCGTAAAAAGAGCAAACTAGATGTGTTTTGAATGAATCGAACAAAGTACGCACTATGGTCATGATACTCTCTACAAAAAAAAAGTAATTTTTATGTTCTTGGAAATGGCCATCACTGCTCAGTCATTTCCCTGGAACTTTAAGAGCTGCCTTTTGGGTCAAATAGCTTTCCCGAGATGTTTCTTAAAGTAATAAAACTATCCGTACTTGAGGATATATCTGCCCGAAGTTGCCACGCGTCAAAGGCATTTGGACAGGTTATACCTCACTGACGCAAGCCGATGTTACGAACGGCTGCGCAGAATGCGCCTGAAAGTAATCTTGTAAAAATCTAACCAGATAATATTTCCAATTTTTTTATTAGACCTTCATATGCGGCTTGAATAAGACCAGTATCTCAGGAAGAGAAAGGGGAGCTTTTTGTGGTGGGTATCTTTACGCACACAATGCGTGAAATTAGCATTCACAGCGCATAAACTCGTGATATGAGGAATGCAAATAACTTCACATGGCCAGGTATCTTTAAATTCGAACATTTGATGCACAATCTACTAATGCGTTCCTCCTATATCCATGAGAAGACCCTAAGCGCGAAAATAATGTCAAATCCCTGGAGAAAAGTATTAGATGTCCGTTCCACAAAGACTCGCCCCCACTGCCTGGCCTAAGCCCATGAGCATTTGGCTGGAAGGGAGAGAGGAGAGCAAAGGCATGCATCGCTGCGCCTGAAGATGACTCTGATACTTTTGACTCAGGTGCAGGTAATACGAATTCGATGGCCAGTGTCGTTCATTCATACACCATTGAGCTAACCTCTGCAGCAAGAAAATGCCCAAATTGTCGAGCCAGAGGGAGGTTCTTGAATAATTATGGATTAACTACAACCAAATTGGCAGAAGGCCGACGTTTAGCTTTGCTCACTATGTGTACTGCCCTAGCTGGAATCGGGGTGCAAGCCTGTATGCCTTCCTTATAAAATTCTCTTATAAGCACATTAAATGAAGAATTTATATAAATTATAGAATCTAATATTTGTAGCTAGATCCATTCTGTGTTCGGTAACTCGCAGAATAGGATACAAGCCGTTTGCCTCTAAACGTTCAGTGCAGCGTGCATCAATGCGGCCCCTGGCGCTCCCTGGAGGCCCCTCTGAATTTGAATATTCTGCATAAGAGACAGCAGCTCCTATGAGTTTGCTCGGATACTTGTGGAGCCTTGACAGTTGCGCAGTCATACTGGTCATCAGGGTGGACCAATACTAAGGCTGGGGCATGGTATGTAGGTCCCCTGTTTAGTCCTGTGCTCTTCCGCGGCATTTTGCGTCATCCATGATGTTGAGGTTAAAACTTAATGGATTTAATTCTATTCCAGGGAAACGGGGCAAAATGGTGGGGTTGCAGAAACGAAGCTGATCGCGTGAGGGCGATCCTCTGCGCCGGCTGGGGCGCTTGCTCATACAAAAGCCGTACCTGGCCCTAAGAGCATCCCTGAACCGCGATTCTCGATTTATTTTAGCGGAATTGTGCATTTTAACAGAGGTCACGTAGTAAGTTTCTCTCCCAAAAATAATTTTATCATCTAGCAGCGGGTGCCGCCGCGTGCGGTAGCGAGCAATGCGCTGCACCACAGCGCCGATATCTGTTGCATGCATCCAGGTTGAAAGGTACCCAGGGCAGTCGAAACAAGCCCCCATCGTTGGTCATTATATATCTAGGCAACTAATCTTACGTGGGACTCGCTTTGTCTGCAGCAAGGTGGAACCGGCGCTCCGATTTCCCTGTGTGCCTGAATGACCCACCGGCCTATCATTCTCTGTGGGATCGCAACCAACCAAGACAATTCCAACAAACCATGCTGGTCTTTGTTGTCCTCTCTTTGACTTTTCCTTGCAATTCCATCTTGGGTGGTAGTCTCCTGTCGGCTCCGTTTTCCTCTCTGATCCCCTAACTTGCATTGCTGCTTCGCGCGACCCTGGCGACGGACCGCTTGGCTGTCACAGCGCACGCCACTTTTCTTCGTGGAAGTACCACGGGGCACTGTCAGCAGCAATTGTGTGTCTCACAGCGTCTACCCGTGTGAGGCTCCTTGGATGAATCAAGAGAGGAGAAGCCGTTCTCCTCTTGCTTCGCTGTACAGCAGGTGCTCAAGACTTCGCCAAGAAGCATGCCCACATCGGGTAAGCTGAAGTCTTTCTGAGTGACGGAAAGCTGTGCGGCCTTTGACGCCGTGCCCCCTCCTCTGTGTCTCTGGAAGTGCGCACTTTGTGAATCGCGGGAGGTGTGCAAAAGCAGGCGTATCTTCCTTCGTACGCAGCTGTGTGTAGCGTGTACGTCATTTGTTTGCCGCAGAAATGTCTTCTTCGCCTTCCCCGTCGCCTTGTTCTGCGGGGAGCGACTACTCCACAGAATACTTCCAGGATGCGGTTTCCCAACAAATGAGCGTCGAAGGCTCACCGTTGGAGGATGGGCTAATTCCACGCGAGGCTTTGGCGTACTGTCCAAAACCCTCAGATATACTCAAGGCACGTCTTTGGCACTGCTCCTCTTCTTTGGTGCAGCTAGAAGATTTGGGTGTTTGCCTGCACAACGCAAGGAAACACGACACCCCGATGTGTACCGACGCGAACGCAGGCCCTTAGAAAGTACCCGGGGGCGATAGGAGGAGTGTGACTGAACGATGGGAGGGAAACTGCAGGCAAAGCATCGAAATGCAATTTTTCACATAAAGAGAGAGAGAGAGAGAGAGAGACAGAGAGAGAGAGAGAGACAGAGACAGAGAGACAGAGAGACAGAGAGAGACAGAGAGAGAGAAAAAAAACAAGTCTCTTTCGTATAGAGATGCCGAGACAGGGAGAAGGCAGCACTCCACGCCTTGAATCGCAAAGGTCATAGAGCAACCACCGTAAGGGCATATGCGTCTTGTTTCTACGCAGCCTAATCCAGGAAGTCATCCTACTCGTTTGATTTTCGGCGACTTAGATCTCATTCCGCAAGAGCTTGAGGGCCTGCGGGAGGTGCGGAAGTTGATGGCTCGCGATGAGGATCTGCACAGCTCGCCGATCTTTGCCGACGACCGATATGCGATTCGTTTTCTTCAGGGGTGGGGAGTCTTCGTGTGTCACCTCCTCCGTTGCCACATATGCCCGCTTTTATTCCCTTGGTGATGCAGAGGCGTGCTGCTCGCGTCTTTCGGGGGGGAAGGGGAGGGGAGGAATGCCGCCATCTAAAAGGCGTCACTGAATTGGCTGCTAGTGCTCCATCTAGCATGTTTTTTGTTCCTTTCACTTTATTGTCTGGCGTTGATTGCGTTTGTTCAGCAACGACTGGGATGCCTCCCGTTGCATAGTGGACATGAAGCGGCATCTGCAGTGGCGCTCGCAGAATCTCCCCATTCAACGCAGCGCAGTAGAGCCAGCTCTTGTGAGGAACTTGACGCGAGTGCCACACGTTTCACCCCTGTAGAGACATGCAACGCAACGAGCACGCGAGGTGTTGAGACTTCGGGAGCTTTGCGGCGACGTTTATGCGCGCTGAGCACCTGCAAAAACACGCTGGCTCAACCTTTTTTGCCCTGCGTGTTTGTAGCCGTTTTTTGCGCTGCCTTCACGCTCCCTGTTGTATGCCGCAGAATCGCGGCTTCATCTACGTCCACGGCCGAGACCACTGTTTTCGTCCTATTCTCGTGATACGGTGCAAGCTCCTCGCCGATTCGCATGTGGTATGTCTGGAAACGAACCGCACATGGCCTTATTCTTGCCTATCCACCTCTGCTTCTGATTCAGCTGCCGACAGGGTCGAACGGCTGTGCTTTGTGGGCGAAATAATTTGCCTTTAAGGTGGGGATTTGGCGACGTCCACACAGGCTTCTTCAGAGGGGACTGCCCCTTTCCCAGTCCATCCCTGCTAGCGCTAGCTGCTCTCGGGTAGATGCCGAGCGCTGTACTTGGGTGACCTTTCGGAGAGGGCGTTGTTGGGAGCTTAGCACTGAGTGGCAGCTGTCTTTGTCGCTCTAGAAGGGCCCTATAGACACGCGTTTGTGCCTCGGGAAAGTTGAGGCGCGACGGGGAGGACGCCGTGAAAAGCACAGCTCTACGCAGGCACTTGTGTTGAGAGTCGTCGTTGCGTTGCTGTGCGTCTCTGCGAGATGCATGCTGATGAAGGGCACTTGCCGTTTCTACGGCAGGCCAGTGCTGCTTTCATTTGCATGCGCGGTGTGAAAGCGTGTGTGGCAACTCACTGCAGGGAGAAGTCATGCCCGTCGTTATCTACTGGCTGGGTAAGTCTTCGCCGGTAAGGCCGACTGAGAACGTTGTTGGAGCTTGCATGCGCAGCGTCTGAGAAGCCTCTCTGGATCGCATCCTACGTGCTGTTGTAGTTGATCCTCACAGGAACTGCAGCCACGCATCCCACCTCTTGCCTACTTTCTCCCCCCAAGCCGAATCGAGGATCTTCCCGGCCGGAAAAAAGGTCTGTCTGTGCATGCGTGCATGCATGCGTTCTTCCCCAGAGTTTACTCTTGCGAAGCTGCTGGTGAAGAACAAAGTGGAGCAGTGGCGTGTCATCATCGACCTGGAAGACTGCAGTATTACCAGTGCCCCAATCGGCATTCTGAAGCACGTGTGTGACACTCTGACGGTGAGCGTCTTGCTGTCTCACGTCGCTTCCCCAGAACTGCTGCATCTAGTCAGAGACTTTCAACTGCCCCCTCATGATGAGTGTACTGCTGCAATACCTGCCTAGGCAATGCACGAGCCGCAGAGTCACTTGAGCAGGGAGGACTGAGTGTAGGCCTTCTTGGGTATGCACACACCCCGTAGCTAGTTCTTTTCCACGTTGTCGTCTGTTCAAACGAGCTTTAGCTTCAGGTTCTGCGGATGTGGCGGTTACAGTAGAGGCTAGACTTGTCGCAGTCGGTTGGGGCAGATACGGGTGTGTGCACGTCTCGCTCTGTCTCTGGGTGCGTCTTCTGCGTCGGCGCTCCAAAAATAATCCTTTTCCAGCCGCAAAAGCCTCTCCTGGCAACTCAGGCTGAAATATTGGATTGTGAGCCTCTGCATTTTGCTTCCCAGAGAAACTACAGGGGCAGGCTTTTCGGAATGGTCATTCTGAATGCGGGGTTTGTCTTTCGGAGTATCTGGCAGATTGTTTCTGTCGTGCTTCCTGAGAGGACTAAATCAAAGATCAAACTGACTTCTTCCTGCAGCGATGTGAGACCTGTACCCTGACAATCTTGCGCTTGCTTCCAGCTGATCTCCAGCCGTTGTTTCAGTCAGTGCATGGACCTGTACCACGGTGTATATGTGTGTGTCCAATTGCGTTGAATGTGTGTATGCACATTCCTGCCGCTTCTACTGGCCTGTCTTTGATTTGCGTATCTCATCTTCCGCTAGTTTGAGACGGAGGCGGGCTGTGCTTGCCGTTGGTGGGCGTACGTGCTGCTACCTCGTATGCGTGCCTCACTGTTTTCCAACGAGTCCGTTGCCTTCGTGCATGCGCGTTATTGCACACCTGCTTTATTATGACTTGTGCGTAGAAGGGCCTTCCGCCGCTGCGTTTTTGCAGGAAGAGTTCTTGTCGGCAATAAGCCGCAACCAGATTGAGGGTAAGTTGCGTGGATGTGCAAACATGTGGTGAATGCACCATGCGCACGAATCTGCATATACTTACATAACATACATACATACATATATACACGCATACATACACACGCACGTAGCGGGCCATTTAGGAATTTCTTGGCGTCTGTTTGTCGACCGTTTGGATTTTTGGAGTGTGAGTGGGATGGTGATATGCATCAGCAACCTGAAAAAGTTGTTTTACTGTCAAAGAAAGTTGCCTGCACCTCTCTACGTACGCGTCGTGAGTGTCGGTGCTGCTGTGTTTACAGAGCGTTATGGGGGCACCTGCCCAAATGTAAAAAATTTCTCGTGGCCGGTGATGCCCCCTGGCCCCTATGGCTCGCCCCTTCGGACCTGATTCGCCAGGATTGTGTATGTATGTGCATGCATGCGCACATGCATGCATGCATTTTTGTGTCTGTGGAGGATCGGCTGGTTGGTCGAACACATGGGCACCCATCTATCATGTAGTGAGCAGCTGATTCGTGCAGTAGGGAGCCGGCGTTGGACTGTCGCTGCTGCTGCAAGCGACAGACGCCAACCCCCTCAGCGAGCACAGCAGCATGTACAAAGCGCTCTCAAACGCATGCAGTTTCACGGAACATTCAGCTATAAGCAAGCCACTTCAGGTGCTGTGCTTGAAGTCGCTGTCGACATTGTCTTCCGCCTTCTCCCTGCTCTGTGTGGGGCTGCGGAGGAGGAAGACAAATGTGTGTGAAAATAATCCCACGAAATCACGGGTACAACAATATCCGGCTTCAAAACGCAACGAACGGGCTATTTTTTTGTTTGAGGCACATCCGCGGGTAAGTCATCTCTCAGTAGAAACACACGACAAACGCTGCCGTAGCGTACCGTGAATGTCAGCGCAGCAGGAGCAGGAGGAGGAGCGATTGCAAGGGCATGCCACTTAAACCCTCCTTTCGCAGCTGCTGCTAGCCCTACAGCACGCAGCTGCTACTAGCCTTACAGCACGCAGCTGCTACTAGCCTTACAGCACGCAGCTGCTGCTAGCCCTACAGCACGCAGCTGCTACTAGCCCTACAGCACGCAGCTGCTCCCTCTGTAGATACCCCCCTCTTCGGAAAAAGTTTACCAGCTATCCCCAAGCCGCGACCGCTGCTTTTCAGCGACACACCACTTCCCAACTCCGACATTCATAAATCACGAAACCAAAAGTGTGGTGTGGCTACGTGCCGCAAGAAGCGCGCGGCTCATGTGGCTGCCTCTCGGAGGACCGCAAGCTTCCGCATTCGATCGGTTTCTTGCTTAAGCCCTCAAGCACCTCCATGCGAGCGGCGCTTGTAAGGAGCCATCGGAGATTGCAGGAGAAGCTCCGGCAGCGGGCAGCCCACGCTGTGCCGCTTCGTGCTGCACACTGGCCCCTCCGCTTCTAAAACCGGGGGTCTAGTGTTCGACCAGACAAATGCTTCCTTCGGCGAAACCTTAGGCTCGCCCTGTTCCTGCTGCCGATATTCCTGTTGCCGTTGTTGTTGCTCCTGCACACAGGAGTCAATGGTCCTGTATAGTCCGGCTTCCTTCAGAACTGCAAGTTCGCTGAGAGTCGTGTAGTACAGACGCCACCAGGCGCAACTGCCTTTTTCTGCTCGCAGCAGCACCTCCTGGTGTTCAAGCAGCATCGCTGGCGAGCAGCTGCAGAGAATGGGCTGCACTCCTGGGTCCGCAGCAGCGGCAGCTGCCGCTGCGGCTTTGTGATGTGGGAACTGCCTTTGCAGCAACTGCAAAAGGAAGTGCCGCTTCCAGCCTGCCCGCATGTCGCTCAGCTGTCTCTGCAGCAGCTGCAAGCGGTGCCGCGCTGTGCGGACCAGAGCGCTTCGCCGCGCGGCTTCTGAGAGGCCTCTGCTGCTGGTGCTCGCGCAAGTAGACCTGCTGCTATGCACGCTGCAGCAGTCTGGATCCGAAGGTGACACCCCGCCGTGGAGGCTCTGCATCTGCTCCTGTGGGGACCCCTTCCTACATCTGTCGCTGGAAGTTTGCGGCTCCCCGACGCCACCGTCTTCCTGTTGCGCCGAGAGCGCATGCTGTTGCTGCAGCAGCAGCTTCACAGCCCTCTTGCACGCCCCCAAGGTCGGATGCGCTGTTGCGCTTGCACAGGCGGCAAGCAGCTGCTCCTCATGAGGCAAGACTCGCAGCGCCGCTCCTGCAGCAGCGACCTCACTAGCCCACACGTCTGCAGCAGCGTCCTTCGCACGTGCTGCGCTGCGGCTGGAAGCTGCCGTCGTCGCCACGTCGACTTGCGCTGCCGCATGCTCCTCGGGAGCGCAGACTTCCGAGGAGCATGCGGCAGACAGCCGTCCTCTTTTAGGAGGCGGCGGGCTGAGTTGCTGCGGAGCTGCGCGTTCTCGCTTGGCGCAAGAAGAAGCAGGAGACTTTAAGGCCTCCCTCGAGCTTCTGCTGCTGTCTCCCGCACTGCTGTTGTCGTCTTCCACATCCCCCGCTGCGGCAAGCATTGCTCGCGCGAGTCTGTGACGACGCAGTCTGAGCCGCCGCTGCTGCTGCAACAGCAGCTGGTCGAACGCATGCCTAAACAGCAGCTCCGCGTGCGCCCTCTCAGAGCCCCCACTCGCAGCGCCCTCATCGTGCTCCCCGTCATCAGGCAGTTCGTGCGGCTGCAAGAAATTCTGCTCGAGCAGCTCCAGCGCCTGGCAGGCATCCGTCAGGCGGCACAGCGTTGCGCTTCTCCTGAAAGCACTCCGTGGCGATGATGCTGCTGAGGCAGCCAGCAAGCCTGCGAGCCCTTTCGCCTTCCATTCCTGCATGCGTTGCTGCTCAAGACGCTGTTGCTGCTGCTGGTCTATGACCTGCAGCGAAAACGCATACACAACGGAAACAGCCGTAAACAGAAGCTCCAGCACAAACAGCAAATCGAAGGCCGAACCGCTTGCATGCAAAACAAACGCAAAAGAACGCTTCCCCAACAGCCCCTCAACGCCTTAGCGACGACTCCATCCATAGAAACGCCGCTTGATGGACGCGTTTGGCGTGAAAAATAACACGCACAGACGAAGCCACCACCGACATAGAGGGTTAAAGGCCTGCTGCTGCTGCTGCTAAAGAAGGGAAGAAGCTGGAGACGCACTGTCATGAGGGGCATCCGGTGCTGAAGAGAAATCTCCTGTTGCAGCAGTTGCTGCTGAGCCGCCAGAGGCATGCTGCAGCGCAGCAGCTGCAACAGCAGCGAGTCTTCATAGCAGCACGAGGCACACAGAGGCGATAAACACGGCATCACGACTCTGACACTGCCGCCGCTGCCGCTGCAAGCCGAAAACTTCCCACGCCGTCCTGCGCGTCCTTTGCAGTCGCTACGCTTCTCTGCGCCTCCTGCCGCAGCGGCTGTCGAGCTCGCTGCTGCATTGGCTGCTACTGTGGCTGCTGCCTGCCGTCTTATCGGGCGAGATGCCCTCTTGCACTGCAGCTGCTGCTGCGCTTGTTCGCAGAAGTCGAGTTCTATGATGTGCGCTCTGGGAATCGAGAGAAAGAGAGCTGCTAAGGCGGCAGCTGCCCCTCCCAGACACACAATGCAGTTGCTGCTTGTGTTGCTTGTACTGCTTGTGTTGCTTGTGCTGCTTGTGTTGCTTGTGCTGCTTGGGTTGCTTGTGCTGCTTGGGCTCCTGCCCTTGCTGAGGCGAGAGCAGCGCCTCTGCCGCTTTAAAGAACAGCGGCAGTACAGTTCTTCACCGCAGCGAGCACTTTTGGGGGGGGGTGACGGAAGGACTGCTGCATCACTTTGGGCTGGACCCTTTGCAAATGCATCAGCATCTTCCACATGGGCATCGCGGAGGTGTACTAACAGCGCCTCTGCCCCCCTATTCCCAGCATAAGGAAGATCTTCCTGGTGCTGCAAGGACTCACGTTCTAGGAGCTGATCAACCTGGAAAGCCGAAAAAACTCGCCGAAGTAGCAGCAGCTGCTGCTGCGGATGTGCGGCACTCATCAACTCCAGCCACGTTGCAGCCACTTCTGCCCGCTGGCTGTTGCTCCCTCCCTCTGGGGGTAAGCAGCAGCTGCTGCAGCAGCAGGGGGGAGAGGGGGGGGAGAGCCGTATCCGCTGCTGCTGCTGCCTCTCACGAACCTCTTCATCATCTGCTGCTGCTATCGACGGGGATATTCGAGAAGGCAGCATCGACACTGCAGCAACAGCTATTCGTGTCACCTGCTGCAAGCGATTCGTAGCGCCAAGTCTGCAACGGAAATCAACACCATACAAACACCAACTCGCACACGCTGCCTCAAAGTCTGAGTGCCTCAAAGTCTACCAGCAAAAGGTGTACACTGCCGTGGTCAAACTGTCGCAGCAACACCCCTTAAGCAGCTAGGAAAGCGATATTTGGCCTTATGGTTGCGCAGCAGCAGAACCCCCTTACGAGTGCAGATATCGATCCGTAATGCTGTTGGCAATGCCCCTAATGAGCATCAACTGCAATCTTTGCTGCTCTTGTCCCCTGACAGTGTGGCGCTGCGCTTCTGCCAGCATCCACTCGCCGTTCTCCGCGAACTCTCTTTCCAGTTCGCTGCGTTGCTGCTGCAAGGCTTCAATCCTTTGTCTCTGCTGCTCCTGCCTTTTCTGCTCGTCCTCCTTCTGGAGCAGCTGATCCACCTCCTGCAACTGCTGCTGCTTCTCTCTCAGCTGCTGCCTCAGACGCTGCAGCTCCCTTTGGGCACAAGCACCTCGACTTCCAGTCGCTGCTCTTGGGGATAAAGCAGTCGCTGCCAGTGCTGCTGCTGCTTCTTCTGCTTCTTCGAGAAGGGTCTGCTGCCGCTGGACTTCCTCTTCGTACTGTAGAGACAGCTGCTGTGCGAGATCCTGCTGCTCGCGCTGATGCTGCTGCAGCAACAGCCGTGTTGCTGTATCCATCCGCTGCTCCTGTGACACTGGGGGACTATTTTGCTCCTCCTCCTGCTGCTGCTGCTGCAAGAGCAGCGCAACGAACCGCTGCTGCTGGCGCAGCATGAGAGCTTCCTGCTTCTGCCGCATAAGTTGCTGAAATGCATCCAGTGTCTGCTGCTTCAGCGCCTCTAGCAGCCGCAGAATGCCTTTCTGCTGCTTCCCCAACTGCCTGTTGCGGTAAGCCTCTAGCTGCGGCTGACGACCTTTCTGAAGCCCTTGCATATCCTCCTCTAGTGCCAACATCTCCCGACGCAGCTGTTTCTGCTGCTGCACCAGCCTCCTGTGGCTCCTCCCAAGGCATTCGTCACTCGCAGCAGCAGCGGCGTCAGCAGCAGAACGGCGGATGGCTGCTTGTAACAGCTGCTGCTTCACACGCTGCAAGTCTGTCTGCAACTGCTGCCTCCGCTGAGCGGCCTCTTTCGGAACCTTTTGATATATGAAGCCCACATGGCTTTCTGCGCTTGTTCCCATGCGCATGCAAAGCTGCTCAAAATTGCAGACACACATAGATACATTTATACAACAACTATGCTTCTCACTCTATATATAGATACATATATATATATATGGTCCGAACCCTCTACAGCCTCTATTTTTAAAAGTGCAAAGGTTGCCCTCGGAAGCGAGCATAGCGCTATTTCAACAACTTTTCACCCCCTTGGCCTTTTTCCCCAGCCTCAGGGTGCAGACGCAAGCGGCGTTTTCGGATTTTGAGGGAATTTTAGATTTCGGAGTGTACTCGAGTGGCCAAAACAGCTTGCATGCCGAAATGGGAAACGAGGTCGCCGTGGAAGGATACATAAACGAAGGTTGTTCTGCTCCTGCAGCAAAATAAGCCCCAGACACAATCCTCAGAGGTGAATGTCTACTACCTATGACCTGCTGCGGAGTGCACAGAGCCGGAACGTAGATGTGAGGCGTTGGAGTATATGCACACAATTGGCTGATAATGGAAATAGAATACACGTTCGCGTCGAGCTCAAATCCCAGTGAAAAGGGACATGCAAATGTCGCGAAAAGTGAAAAAGAGGGAACCCCGCTGAAAAAAGCCTCCCTTCCATCAGCCTCTATTGGGTTCAGAATTACGTACATAAATGTATGTATATATGTATATTTATTTATTTATAGAGACAAAGAAAGAAAGAGACAGAGAGAGGACTGGAAGAACCTCACTATACGGCGCGTGTAGCGCCACATCCCCTCAAAACTGCTTACTGATTGAACAGCTGAACGATGTGGCCGATGATCCAGGGTGGCATTGCGAGATCGAAGGAAAAGACGTGAGAAATGCCTTCCAGAGAGAGGAGGCGGGAGCAGTCAAAGACGCTAAAAGCTCCATTAAACCCTAGAGTTGTGTCAATCAAGCGCCGCTCCGACTGAAGAGCATTCTTTTCAAGGTTCATCACCCTCCGCCGTCCTGCCGTCGCTGCTGCAGACTCTCTCACGCCTCCTATTCTTGGGAATGCAGCCTCCACACTGTGATTCTGAATGCTCGTTTCCACTGTCTGTTCTGCTGCTGCCGTGCTGCTGCTTTGTGAGGGGATATTGAGGAACCGTAGAAGCGCCTCTTCAATGTTGGCCTCTAGGCCTTCCTGGTTCACGTGTGTGCTTAGACAGAGCTGTTGCAGCAGCAGCAAATCGACAAGAGCTGAAGCGCACACCCCGAAACACATTAAATTATTCCCTATCTTCTAAAGAGACAGACAGACAGACAGACAGACAGACAGACAGAGAGAGAAAAAAACCACCCCACTGCTATCAACTTGTGACTCTGCCACGAAGGGCTGAACATTCTCAGGTTCAGTCATCAGAGGATTCGGTGAAAAAGATAAACGAAGGGTGTATCGCTCTCTGCAGCAAAAGAAGCTCTAGACAGACACAACCCTCAGAGGCGAGCGTCTACTACCCATAGCCTGTTGCGGACTGCCCCGAGCCTGAACTTGGGAGATGTGAGGCTTTCGGATAGACTCACACAACTGATTGATAATGGAAATAGAATACACGGTGGAGTCAAGCTCAAATCCCAGTGAATAAGGACAGCCAAATGCTGCAGCAGTGAAAGAGGGAACTCCGCTGCCACTGCACACACAGCACATCATGCAACTTCCCCGCGAGTGGCACGCGCACGCATTGCGGAGGCGAAAAATCAAGACGTCACAAGCGGCAGCAGCGCAAGACAAGGCGTCATCAGAGCGTGTGGAGGTGTGCGAACAGCGCGCAGCTGGGAGCTGCCGAGCCGAGGATTCGACGCAAATCCCGTACTCAAGAAAGCCCCCGCCAACATCGTAATAGCAGCAACTCGATCAGCGAGAGAAGCAGCAAGCCAGACAGCCAGCAGCAGCAGCACCATTAGTACTACCAACACCGACATCAGCACCACCAGTACCCCCGACCCCAACATGCACGGCAAGAGTACCTTCCAATGTCTAAAAAGGTGGAATGTTCAGTGAGGCCAAATTTGCTGTTTAGGAGGTAGAACAGCTTCAGCAAAGAAAACACCGAACTCTCCCCATACGCCCCTGAAAATGCAGCACACGCGACAGCACGGACGACTGGCGCTGCAAGAGCAGCAGCAGCAGCAAAGAAAAATAGGAAGAGCAGCACCAGGAGCAGGAGCAGCAGCACTGCAGCAGGAGAAGGGGCGTCACCAGCAGCAAGGCCAGTCCGAGTACCGCTGGAGTGGCAGCAACAACACGAACCGCATCCCTCCTGGCTTACCTTCAACGCTTGTGGTAATTTTCATGATTGGTTTTTTCTGCAGTGACTTGACCTCCGCCATAAAAGCCTCCCGCAGGGCCTGAGGCATTCGGGGGATCGACGATCCCCATTGCGCAGTCTCCACGTTCGGTGTTGCTGGTACGGCTAGCGATGCTCCGCGAACACTTTTTGCTGCTCCTGCTGCTGCAACAGTAGCATGTCGGCTTTCCGGCTCTGCGCACTGTTGCTTCTCCAGCGGCCAAGAGCTTGTTTTTGCTGCTCCTGCTGCTGCCACAGCAGCTGCCGCTGCTATGGCAGCAGCTGCTGGCGGGGATGCCCTGTCCTCAGCAGCAGGAGTCTTTGCATCACTTCCCAGTCGACTGCGAGCTGCCGCCAATGCACGCTGCGTTTCTGTAGGTGTACGTTCAGAAGCAGCAGCAGCAGCTGTAGCTACAGCTGCTGCTGCTGCTTCTGAGCGTACACCTCTGCGCGTTGCACCATGTGGCTTCCCACAGGCAGCAGCAGTATATTTCGAGGCGCCAGCATCGTGCTTCAGCGGCTGCCGGATAGCCATGGAGAGACGAAGACTCTGGGAGCAGGTGTAAGGCGTGCTTGGCTTCTCCGATGCATCCCTTTGCAGAAGTGCGTCCAGCGCTGATGGTGCTTCTTGTGTGCTTTGGCTGCTGCTGCTGCTGCCGAGGTGTACACACACCCGAGGCGACACCGTACGCGGCACACAGTGGAATGCCTCGACAGATACAAACAGCTACTCCTCCGGTGTCATTCGAAGTTTGAAATCCAGGGCGGCAGCAGCAAGAGCAGCAAAGTCTATTCAAATGGACGCCAGCTCGTATACAGCGACAGCTACGGATAGCCTGATGGCGCTCTGCACTTAAAAAGGGCCCCAAAAGAGAAAACCGATGTCTAAATTTGGGGCATTTGTACAGATTGTACAGATCAATGAAAGGATGGGGGCTAGGAGAGATATGAGGGGGCCTACGAACCTCGAGCTGCAATCCGTCCAGCGGCAGCCGAACAGGGTCCTCTTGATGTGTGGTACTGCGACTTTAGCTGTCTATTTTATTGTTTTGTATCTATTCTTGCATATACAAGCAATGGAACCCCTTCTGGCGCAGGTAGATCTCTTTGATTTCCGGCAGCACTTATCCTCTTGCACGACACCCGGCAGGGTCTTGATGCCACCTCGTCCTGTTGCCCTTTGCGTCTATTTCAGTGCAAAAGAAGTCCTGAACATAAATGTGTTTGGCTTCAATATCTGCGGCGTGTCTTGCAGTTTTATCCTGTTTTGATGTTCCAGAGGGCCGCTTACGGGTCGTTGACACCTTTCGATGTGGGGTTCTGCAGGGTGTATTGATCCATGCTTGCGCTGAAAAGCTGTTCATGGCTACTTACATTGCTACCTTCGTCATTTTCATTGCAGCTGCAGTGCTGTTGAACCACACCTAAAATGCTTCTCGCTCCCTCGAGATGCCCAGACACCGCTGGGCCTGATGCACTGTGGTCTACGCGGCATAACATAGATGGGCGCATGGAAAGGGGTTGCGCCATTGCTAACCAGGTGCTGGCTAAGCTCTCAACACAAATCCGCGAGACAAATCCGTAGGGCTGCGGCTCTAAGAGTGGTGCGCGTAATCTTTGATGCAGAGGGGGTTGAGGGAACGGGGATGTGAAAGAAAGCTGGGGCTTTATATGATCTAATTTGCTCGGCAGCTAAAGAGAAGTAATATTTCTTGAAAAAAAATGCCACTGTTTTAGGAACAACTCTGGACCTCGGTCCCCCTTTGCCGGTCTTCTCGGCTCACTGTCTCCTTTGAGGTGCTGTAGCTCTTCAGCCTTAGAGGGAACTGCCAGATACTCCTAGTTGCCACATTTTGCTTTCGAGTTCTTCGATTCTATCCTCTGGCTCAGTGCCCCTAAAGTTCTGGTTTTATGGCGTAGAATATGCGCCATGGGAGGGAATATAGCTGTTGCGACCCGTGCAACACATGGCTGTTGCTCCCGCAGTAATTCTGCATGTACAGCCTATTCGGACAGTCAATGCCTAACAAAGGTTTAATTACATCTTTCATCTATTGACGAGCGGACTAGCTCATTAGTGCAAGCTTTAATGATGGGCTTCTTGGAGCTAAGCTACTATCTGCGACATGTGACAGTGCCAGCGCAATGCTCAAAGTGTGCAACTGCATGCATCTCAACTGGTCTGCCTCTTCCCACTACAAAACTCAGATATAAGAAAACAAGATGAGACGAGAAACTTTCAGAAGATTATACTAAAGCGCACTACGTTTTTTCCGTATTTTTCTTGAATACGTATCCCCTATTAAGAAAAACTTAGTAGGGGCGCAACTCTAGTGGTGCATAATAGGTGGCTGTATCGTACATTGTCCTCTGCTATAAGAATCCCTTATGCTGAATCTGAGCTGCGAAAGCCTCAATACCCAACAGGTGCAAGCCTCTTATGGCAGCCTGCCGACCAGCAACAGAAACGGTGACAGCTGGAGACATTTCCTGTCCATACCCTGCTGCTAACTCTCTGGATAATGTCTCAGCAGGGAGGTACATAGCTTCAGAATTAACTAAAAGTGAGTAGAAAGCTTCTGGAAGTGTCTTTGAAGAAGATCCCTTCATCCATCCCCAGCCCGCTCCATTCAAGGCTCCTTATGTGAGACCAGGACAGTACGCGCTGGGGAAGTAGAATTACAAACAAACGCAAGGCATGCCGTCAGCGGTGACGGTCGTTGTCAACTCAGCGAAGCCACAAAGCCTTCGCAGACAACGATGCTCACAATTATTTCTCTGTCAAACACTGAGACTGGCGTATCCCACGCCTTTTCTCCACAAAATCTCATCTGCTATGTCATCAGTGCTCAACAGTACTAGAAACCAGCACCTCTCCGGCTCTCTATGGATTCTCCGCCTCCATAACCTGCGCAGCGAAGCTAATTATGCTTCGGAGAGTCTTAAAAGTCCTATATGGAGTGAAAATACATACTTCTGTGGCATCTCCATGTTTTAGGGCAATTAATAGAGTATGAAAAAGCACTGGTTCGCAAAACAGCCGCAATCGCTTCAAGCAACATGATCTAATAGCCTTATGGTGTACCTCGTAGAGCCTTCTGATCCACAAGAACCGGATATCGAGCCTTGAGCACATTACCAGCCTTCGCTTGTCATAAAAACGTTCCTCTACCTCGATGTTGGCGCATGCATCAAGATGCACTAGCCAGCAGTTCTCCAGTTCCCCCACATCTAAGTGCGGCTCGAATCCGGGTCATCAAGTCTAGGCCCGCATCGGACAAGGGTTCCTTTTTAGGCCAGGAGTGCGGAGAAGCAATGGGTAGATGAGTGTACTATCGATTATAAACCCAATCAGCACAAGGGGAAAAATCAACCCCTTGTACGGTTTTATTCACAGACATTGTAAGGGTGTGGTTGGTTCCCTCTGGATGCTCCTCATGGTGGTTGAAATCAGTCATAAATGGTCAATCTTAGATGGTTCATAAGGGCACGGCAGCGAGCACAAACGAGCCTCACATCCCTATCAGTAACTTTGATCCTGATGGAATCGATGGAGCTATCAAAAGGTAATTTTGATCTAGTTGAGCGACTTTCTGAGCCGTCACAGAGCTGGAGCAAGGGGTGAAATGGGCAAATTTAGTGAGTCTGTCACCAACCGCGTGCATGCAACCCTTACCATTTACCTCCTCCAGCCCAACAGTTAAGTCCTTAGCAGCTCCGTCCAAAATATTGAGGAATCGGAGGGCTTTGCAAAAAGGCCGATTTAGGAGATCTGCATGGTTTAGCTGCTGACAATTTGGGCATGCCAGCGCATACCGCTTGCCGATAGACGTACCCCAAGCCAGGGAATAGACCACAAGAGCATAACTACTGTAATGTGGAATGTACTAGAGCCCGAACGAGCATGCTCATGTCTGTTTTTTTAGAACAGTATTGCTGAGCGGAGTCAAAATGTACAGGTGACAGAGTCCCCACTTGGTGCTTGAGTTACAGCAGGCGTCCTTGACGAGGTAGTGCCTTACCCGTTTGCCATTCTGAATTAAAATGAAAGCAATTCCACGATTGTCAAGAGCATAAGACAGAAGCAATTTCCTTAAAGCCCGTGAATCTTCGTAGACAGGAGCAACTGCGCTGCACAATGGTGAGTCGCTGGGGCGTTGCAATAGCGGATTTTTTATTGAACCACTTGTGATGCCTTATAATTTATCACATTGTAAACTTGGTACTGCACGGAAACACCGAAGCAAGCGAACAACATTGGGATTCCACGGTCCTGGAACTCTCCTGAGGTATATAAAGCTTGACGATTGGTTAGACGATAAAATGACACCCATATAATACTGCCTGCAGTTCCTCATGCCCCATTACATTGCACAGAGCTCCTTTTCCCGAGATGGATACCACTGCTCCTTTTCGGCGAGACTAGTCACACTACACGCAGTGAATCGGTGTTTTGGAGGGCTCGTAGCTTGTTGAAAGAAAATAACATCCATCGCTACGTCACCAGCATCGCTTGATGGGAAGAAATGACGTTCGTCATAAAGCAGCTCAGGTACAGGAGGAGTTGTAGGGTGGCTGATGAGCCTCCTTCCTGGGACATTGAACTTCTCTCTTCATGTCTTAAGCTGCGTTTTATTTAACCGATCAGTCAAAGAACCAGCGTTCCGAGCAATCCTAGGGATGATATCGCAATAATACAGTGCAAGCCCTGAGAACTTGGTAGCATTCTTGCAGGTGTGAAAAGGTGAAGGCCACAAGTTGACTGCTGCAATTCTTGCCGCATCCGGCTCGATTCCTCCGGCTAAACCATGAAAGCCCAGGAAAAAAACTAGCTCTCGCAAAAGCCCAAACACTTGTTTGCCCTTATGTACTTTTGCTTGTCCCGCAGCAGGTGAAACGGAGGCTGTGGGTTTTTTTTGCTGCTCTTGAACGTTTCGCCTGCAGACTGAGGCCGTCCATGTATAGGACTGTTTACCCCTCCTTGAAACTTTAAAGAAGAATTGCCTTGCCTTTGTACTTTAGCTGTGGCAATAGGCTTGAGCGGCATACCGGAATACTCGAACTTGCTAGTGAGGGCTGCTTCATGGTTGCCATTCAAGTTAATGAAGATTTGTAGCTAAGGTATCTAGGACGTTATACGTCGAGTAGAGTCTTGATCCGTGTGAATTGGCAAGCAGTTCACCACTATGGGGCACTGAAACTTTCCGATTCATGAGAAGCTTGATCTGGGGCACAAAGTATAATGCACATGCGCTACCTTCCGCCTTTTTCGCAAGCAACACCGGGAAACGCCCAAAAGCATTAGTTGCCTCCTGCATCTTAACTTTTCCAGCATAGCATCCGCCTACCGCTAACTCTCCTACTCATGCTATAAGCACTTCCGATCTGGCAACAATCAGCTCAAGAATAAGATAGGGAATAAGTCAAGACAGTGCGCTGTACAACCAGCACATGCATCGCTGCTTGCACCTCGTCATTCTTCAACACATCCCAACGAACTCCTTAACATTTGCCCATTCCTGGTGTTCCTCAGCT